AAGACCCCGAATAGCCACAGCAATCTTGAGAAAGAAGAACAAAGTTAGAGGCATTACACTTCCTGATTTCAAACTATATTACAAATCTATAATCATCAAACTAGTATGTTATTGTTATAGAACAGACACATAGATCAATGAAATAGAATAGAGAGCCCAGAAATAAACCCATGCATATTTCGTCAATTAATTTATGACAAAGGAGCCAAAAATATACAATGGGGAAAGGCTAGTCTTTTCAATAAATGGTGTTGGGGAAAGTGAACCTTTATCTTACACCATACACAAAAATCAACTCAAAATGGATTAAACACATGGACATAAAACCTGAAACCATGAAAGTTCTAGAAAACATAGTAGGTAAGGTCCTTGACACTGATCTTGACAGTAAGTTTTTGGATTTGACACCAAAAGCAAAGGCAAGAAAAGCTGAAATAAATAAATGGGACTATATAAAATTAAAAGCTTCTGTTCAGCAAAGAAAACTATCAATAAAATGAAAAGGCAACCCAGGATTGGGAAAAATAATTTTTAAATCATCTGTTGAATAGGGGTCAATATTCAAAAAATATAAAGAACTCATACAACTCAATAGCAAAAAAACAAGAAACAAACAAAAAAACACACTGATTACAAAATGGGCAGAGGATCTGAATAAACATTTTTCTATTGAAAACTTAGAAATGGCCAACAGGTACATGAAAACATTTTCAATATTACTAATCATGATGGAAATGCAAATCAAAACTACAATGAGATATTACCTTGTGCCTGTTAGAATGGTTACTATCAAAAGACAAGAGATAACAAGTATTGGCTAGGATATGGAGAAAAGAATACCTAGCAAAACCCTCATGCATGGAGATGGAAATCTAAATTGATGAAACCCCTATGGAAAACTGAGGAAGTTACTATGGAGGTTCCTAAAAAAATTACACCAGAAAAATCATATAATCAATCCAACAACTCCACCTCTGGGTATACATCTGGAGCAAATTAAGTCACTAGCTCAGAGAAATACCTGCACCCCCATGATCACTGCATTATTTTCAATAGCCAAGACAGAAACAACCTAAGTGCCCATCAAGAGATGAATAAAATCAATGTGATGTGATATCTATCTATCTATCTATCTATCTATCTATCTATCTATCTATCATCTATCTAATATTCAGCTATAAAAGATCAGGAAATCCTGCCTTTTTGCGACAATGGATGCACCTTGAGGGCATTATAGTAAATGAAGTAAGTTAGGTAAAGTACTGAATACTGTACCATCTCACATATATGTGGAATCTAAAAAGAACCAAATTCAACTGCCTATGGTTGCCAGAAGTGGGTGTTGAGGATGGTGGGGGAGGAGGGGTGCGGGGGAGAGGAGTGAAAACATGTAAATTTTTAGTTAAATATGTTCTGGATATGTAAAAAAGTAACAACACTGTTTTTTAATATATCTGGCCCTTCATCATTGAAATGTAATTTATAATATAGTTCAGGATTCCTTTAATCATTGGTGATTATATAGTTGATAGTACTGAAAATGTAGGCAAAGAAACTTGTGACTCAAATAGCAGAGAATATCATGCTGGGAACTTACAGTCAAAAACAAATTGTTGAATGCTATTTATGAGTTCCAAAGCAACCAATCATGTATTAGAATGAGGAAAACAACCGTCAGAGAAGAGACAAAAGATATAGTATAAGAATGGCAGTGTTTTCCCCATTTCCCAGTTATTCATGGCTTAATGTCACAGAAACAAGTTTTGCCATTAAAATCATACCTATTTGTTAAGTTACTATAATAAAATGATTAGATTGGGATAGAAGTGAATTGAGCCTGAAGAGATGTAATCTGAAATAACATGGAAAACTTCAGATAAACCTGATTTATGACAAGTTCTAACTACTTTATGGTATACTCTGAAGTCCCCACCCAACTCCTTGTACTCTTACTGAAAAACTTCCTTGGAAATATAACTCTTCCAAGAAATATGAATATTTCCTCATTTGCTTGGTCAAAAGATTCTTAGTCACTCAATCATTAGGAAATGAAATAGTGACACATGAACTAAACACCCTTTTAAATGATAAAAATTCCTATTCTGGAAAAATAAATTAGAAAATCTAACCCCAATACCCAATACATACCTTAAAACCCAAAACACTTAAAATGTTTTTATTAAATGCCAAATATTACTTGCTATACTACTTTTGGGAATAATTTTAAATTGTAAAATCATTTTCAGTGTCGGGCCACTTTCTTCCATTAATATTAAGCATGTTCATACCTGCACGTGATGGGCAGCAGATTGGAGAATTTGTGTAGGCATTCAGAAAGGAAGTGCCATGTGCTTTCATGAAGTTGATAAAAGGAAGTTTCACTACCTGACTTCCTGGATAAAATGTTAGCCTTCCATCCTGGAATGAAGAAATGTAATTAACAACAATCGCAACACGAAACAAGAAAATTGTTTCCTTTAATTTTAACCTTAAAACTTATAAACATCAAAGGACTTCAATATGACCCTAAAATCCTCAACAGCTAAAAACAAGTATAGAAGGGTTATCAGTATCTGGCTCAAAATCCAGAGAATTTAATGCAGTGGTCCACTTAGATTCATTAGAATATAGTAAATAAATTAAAGGACTTTCTGAAAAAGCTCTTTTGGAGGATGATGGACTGACTGAACCAGTATTTACTGAGTATTTACTGTGTGCCAGGGACTATGAAAGATCTGGAGATACAATCTGGAGATAAAACAGAATCCCTGGTGCCTTTCAAGTTTAATCTGGTGGAGGAGGCTAAAGTATACTGGAAAATAAAATATGAATAATTACAAATTGTGGTATGTGCTTTGAAAAAAAAACCCGAGACACAGAATAACAAGGGAGACCTCCTCCAGATAGAGGGGACAGGGAAGGTTTCTCTGGGAAGTATGAGACCTAAATAATGAGAAGGACCCAGCCATCAATGGAAGTTTCTGGGTATGTTGTGATGCACCACCCATATTTCCTTTTAGGAACAGAAGACTGCCTCTGCTAAAGAGTTTCCTTGCCCAAGACCATGCCCCACTCTGGGAGCAGCCCCTAACTAATGGCCATCCAACATGCGGGTACACAGGCCTGGCGCCTCCCCCCACTGGAATTAGCTCTGAGGTATCATACTAGTGTGAGAACTACCCATAGGGTCAACCCAGGCCTCCATATCTACAGCAACAAGACCCAACTTTGCTCTGCACAATCCTGTGTCCTTCCTTTCCCTCTGATCTCAAGAGCACTCTCTTACATGTTACTCTCCAATACTGCCAGTTCCGTAAGTTTAGGTAACCATAAAGATTACTTTAGTAATATTCTCAAATCCGATGGGCATATCCAGATTATGTAACTTTAATCATCATGGGTCAGTCCAGGAGAAAGGCCATACAACAATGGTGATGAAAAGCACTCTAGCCCAGCCGGGTGTAGCTCAGCGGTTGAGCGTCGACCCAGAAACCAAGAGGTCACCGGTTCGATTCCTGGTCAGGGCATATGCCCAGGTTGCGGGCTTGATCCCCAGTGGGGAGCATGCAGGAGGCAGCCAATCAATGATTCTCTCTCATCATTGATGTTTCTATCTCTCTTTCCCTCTCCCTTCCTCTCTGACATCAATAAAAATATATTTAGAGAAAAAAAGAAAAGCACTCTAGTACCAGACAAGCTTAACACCAACTCTCTATGTAACCACACTAACTCCCAGGGATAATGAACAAATGTCATAATTAGTAACCAAACATCTGTCCAGGCATTGGTTTTAAAATCATGGAATAATACTAAGTATCAGGTAATATTGATAGTAACATTCTGTTGATTGATGGCTTGGGGAAAGTTTCAGAAACTGTTCAAGTTTAGGATTCAACAACACGCACACAATTTCCCTGGAATATCATCAGGGAGTGAATCAAAGTATATCAGCTAATGAATTTAAATCAGCACTAACAGGATTATCAGATACCTGGGCAAAAAACAACAACAAAAAACAACACGTTCATTTTCTTCACTTCTCACGCAAACACAAATTCCTGCAAACTTGCGGTGAATTGGGAAATGACCGCTGGAAAACTAACAAGCTTTTGTGGAGATGCAGAATGTTATTTTCTCTACTATTAAATCAAACGGGTTATAGACTGATCGTTCATTAATAGTGGTAAAATAAAAAAATAATAAATAGTGGTAAAATAATTTAATGAATCGAGGCTAGCAATAAAAAAAATCAAAAGGTTTGCAAAGACGCTATCAGAGCACATGTTATTCACTAAAGTATTGTTTTATATGTATTATATGCATATCTATGTGGTGTGCTGTACGTGTGTGTATACGGGGCCTCAAGAGAAAATGCACTTTTTACTTTTCATCAGAGTAAAAAAGTTTGCAAGTTTCAGATTCTGCTCCCCAAAGCCTGCAGCACAAGAAAGGCTGTGGGCGGGTAGCGGATCCCCGCCCTCCCCCGCCCCCCACCGCCCCGCCCCCCGCCGCCCCGCCTTCCCCCGCCCTCCGCCGCCCCGCCCCCTGCCGCCCCGCCCTCCCCCGCCCTCCGCCGCCCCGCCCCCTGCCGCCCCGCCCCCCGCCGCCCCGCCCTCCCCCGCCCCCCACCGCCCCGCCCCCCGCCGCCCCGCCTTCCCCCGCCCTCCGCCGCCCCGCCCCCTGCCGCCCCGCCGCCCCTCTCGGTACTTACAAAGGAGTCGCTCACCACTAGCACCACGTTAGGCGCATCGGGCCGCTCCTGAGCAGCTCCCCGCTCCTCCCCGTTAGTCCCGGGAGCTGGTGCTGCCAGCGCGGAGGCTGCGACCACCGACACGCACAGCAGCAGCATCGCAGAGAGAAGTTGGGAGTCCAGCCCCCGGGCGCCGGGCCCGCTTCCTCCCGCAGGGAAGAGGTGGGCGGGGATCGCAGTTTGGTTTCCTCCCTGCGCTGCAGCCGCAAAACTACAACTCCCATCGGGGTCAGAGTGAGCACATGCGCACAGGTGGACTTCTCTGCCCTGACTCACGTTAAGACCTTTTAATCAAATACCGAGCAAACTAAGCAAGTCACTTCCAGTCACGTGAGCCATGCCTGGGGAAATGCGCATGCGCTCGGACTCCAGCCTAGTTTGTAGGAGGAGCAGCTGACCCAGGTGGGTTCGGGTCGCTGTCGCTTTGGCAGAAGTTAGGTTTGGTGGGTGGTGGAAATGGTTGAAATGAAAACGTAGAGAGAGCAAGGGTCAGGGGCCGAGGGTGCTCGTTTTGCGCTGAACAAACGTGGCCGAGTTGTCAGCGGGACCGTGAAGTGGGAGGTGATGAGGTGGCGGCTTAGGTTGGCTCGGTGGCTCTTTGGGGGACCTGGGACTGGACCGCTGCAGGTGCGATCTGGTACCGTGGGGCCCTCGAGTCCATTTCCCCAGGGAAATCTGCAGTCGGCCTCATAGTACTCCTGCCATCGCCGGTGCAGCTGGGATTTACTGAACTCGGGTGGGTGAGGAGCGGGGCCTGGGACAGGGAAAAGCTTCGGTGCGCCTCGCTTTCCGAGTGCAAAGGAGAGAAGCGAGCAGCTGTCTCGTGGCGGAAGAGGTGTGGTTCTGTGTGACGGGAGCGATTCACTGACGTAGGTTCGGAACCCCTTGTTTTGCTGCAGAAGAATCACAGATCCTTCTTGACTGTTGAAGTCCTTTGGGAAAATCTGGAAGAAACGGATTTCGGTCCCAGAGCCAAGTCCCTGATTTCATTGTCATAGTTGCAGGTATATAATTTGTACTTCATGTTAATCGCATCAGTATGACAGGGAAAGGAGGAGTTGCAGTACTTAGTTAACGTAAAACCAACTGTTAATACTAACATCTGTTTTTGCACAAAATAATGGTAGTAAGGGACAGACCTTATTTAATACATAACACTTACTCCGTTCTGAGGATTATACTAAACATTTATTGAGCACTTACTGTGTGGCAAGTCCTTTTACAAGGAACATTTCCCATCATCCTCACTTTCACCATTTTGCAGATGGGAAAACAGGCTTGGCCAGGTGAAATGACTTGCCCAGGGTTACCCAGGGAGCCAGTCTTAGTAGGACTTGCATCCGAGGAATCTGTACCCTAACTCGCTGCGGTACTCTGTCTCTAGTTAGTTACAAAATGTCATGACATTCTCCTGGGCTTACTCACTGTTAGTGAAGCAGAATTATTAACTAAGCAGCATGCCAAAGATCTGGTGAATGCAGATATATACACAATAGTCTCTGTCCACAAGGAACGCTAAGGAAAAAAAAAGTGAAATAATATTAGTACAACATGGAAGGTGATACAGGTATGTTCTTTCATGATCAGGATGTGTTTAAAATTTTTTTCTACGTTAATTTGGAATGTTGAACACATGTTACCATCGGAACAATGTTGGCTGACATTTAGATTAATCAAAAATGTACTTTACTAGTATGGCACATTACTGATTCTGTGAACTGTATTTACTCTCTGTGACCTTGTCTTCATAGGACGTGTATTCTGAATTCCCAGTCAGGATGACAGGAATACATCTTTTTCTTTCTTTTTTTTAAAAAAATATATTTTTAATTGACTTTAGAGAGAGAGGAAGGGAGAAGGGTAGGGAGATAGAAACATTGATGACAGAGAAACATCAACCTGCTGTCTCCTGGGGATCGAGTCTGCAATCTGGGCATGCACCCTGACTGGGAATTGATCTGGTGACTCCTTGGTTCATGGGTCTGCGCTCAACCACTGAGCCACACCAGCCGGACGGAATACATCTTTTTCCCCCCATTTTCTTCCCTTGACAATGTCAGTGGGGGCAAGGGTTGAATTGGACTGGAGTGAGATGAGTGTTTTCGGTCCCCAGACACATACGCTGGAAGACTCTAAGAGGCTTCTAGTCTACCTTCTCATCTGCCATTCAATTTGCCCTACATTGTTACTGCCAGTGGGTTGTCCAGTCTGCTTTTTCATTCCCAGTGATGGGAAACACTTCCTATGAGCAGCCATTCCACATTTGTACTGGTCTGATTTTAAAAGTTCTTATTTTGAGCTGAAGTTAGCCTTTCTCTACTTTTAACCATACATTCATCCATTTCTCTTCACTTTTCATGAATAATCTCTCCTTTTAAACTACCCTTCTCAGCTTTTCCCCCACCTGTTCCTCTCACCCCCAAAATCTTCCCCAGTTCCTTCAACTAGTTATTATAACTTCAGGTTTCTTCATTATTTTCATCACTCTCTTCTGCACACAGAGCATTTTTGCTAATCGTAACTTACTCTATCAGAAAAGGAACTTTTGAGATGTGAGTGTGCATCTCTGTGTGTGTACATGTATGTATATGTGTGTTTCAATGAGGGTAGGGGCTGCATTACGTGTCTAAGTCATCAGTTAAAGTGGGGGAGGGAGGGAATGTCTGCCCTGGAACCATATAAGGCCCAGGAAATAATTTGGTCTGGCCCTGCCAAGGCATTAGGGGTAAGTTAATTAAATGTTTGACCAAATATAGCAGGCTAATTTTTTAAAAATATATTTTTATTGATTTCAGAGAGGAAGGGAGAGGGAGAGAGATAGAAGCATCAGTAATAAGAGAGAATCATAACCATCTGCCTCCTGTACACTCCCTACTGGGCACAAAGCCCACAACCCGGGCATGTGCCCTGACTGGGAGTTGAACCATAACCCCCTGGTTCATAAGTCGTTGCTCAACCACCAAGCCTCACAGGCTGGGCATCAGGCTAATTTTTTAGTTGATAATTTTGTCTGGCTTGTGAATAATGTTATAATTATCCAAGTAGCCCTTAACAGAGAAAAAGGTTCTCCACCACTGATTTAGAGGGTGGCAGTAGAGAAGGAGTACAGGCATTATATATGTTGTGTTCAGGCACTTATCAGGTAACTGATGTAATCCTTACTTTACTAATGAAGAACTAGGCATAGAGTTATGAAATAAGATGCTCAGCGTTTAATGGCACTTGAACCCAGATCCATCTGGTTCCTAGGCCCCTTCTCAACCAGGTTATGACTTGCTTTGGTGGGTGGATATGGCAGAATGAAGGGACTGAAAAATCGGGTATTTTGTAAGAACAGAGTTGAAGTGACTGAGTAATAAAATAGGTTGGATGAGAACAATAATCAAGTGTAGTTGGAAGAGGGCTTAAAGAAGTTAGTGATGTGAAGAGTCAAGTTTTAACATTTATTTTACCTTCTCACCCCTTGTTTTAATGTTTACTTTCCTGAACATTGTTTGGATCACAAATTTTTGTTTTCTTTACAGTAGGATGCTTTTCTGTGGAACTAATCATTCAATTTAAGTATATTGATAGTATGTTTAGTCCAAAAACTCACTTTGTTCATCCCCACCTGCTTCATCTAAATTTTGTTCATTTCCTTGTTTTCAAGTAGCATATATATATATATATATAAAATATATAATATATATATATATATATATTTTTTTTTTTTTTAAAAACAACTCTGTTCAGCCCTAGCTGGTTTGGCTCAGTTGATAGAGTGTCGGCCTGTGGACTGAAGGGTCCTGGGTTTGATTCCAGTCAAGGGCATATGCCTGGTTGCGAGCTTGATTCCCAGTAGGGGGTGTGCAGGAGGCAGCCAATCAATGATTTTTCTCTCATCATTGATGTCTCTCTCCCCCCCCCCCCCCTCTCTCTCTCTCCCTCTCCCTCTCTCCCCCTCTCCCCCCCCCTTCCTTCCTCTCTGAAATTAATAAAAAAATATTTTTTAAAATCTGTTCAGTTTTTCAAAACCACTCTATTCTCTCCATGAAGAATTCTGGATTAATTTTGTTTGACAAAATTTATTCCAGGGACGTCATAAAAAATACTTAGAATTTATAGTCATGTAGAAATTGTGTCAATATTTTACATGGCTATTTAGATGGATTTTTAATCTTAAAAAAAGTGATCTCTATTTTCATTAACTTATGAACTACAGTAATCTAATTGCATGATGTGGGCATCATTTAAAAATATTTAAAATCTTTATATGGCTTAGAACAAGGATCACTTTGGTGTAGTTGGAGGCTGCAAATTGGGTGTAACTATAGTAAGTGCTCTTAATTGTCCTGGATTTAAAACAAAGTAGTGCAGAAAGACAATTTTCTCTTTTGGCTCAGTTTTTATATTGAAGTTAGTGTATTTTGTGTTCCTGGAATATTTTTTCAGAACTCGATTGTTTTTGGAAGTTCCTTTTATCTCCTGAGGCTACGGGAACATGGTTTAGACCAGCCGTGGGCAAACTACGGCCCACGGGCCGGATTCGGCCCGTTTGAAATGAATAAAACTAAAAAAAAAAAAAAAGACCGTACCCTTTTATGTAATGATGTTTACTTTGAATTTATATTAGTTCACACAAACACTCCATCCATGCTTTTGTTCCGGCCCTCCGGTCCAGTTTAAGAACCCATTGTGGCCCTCGAGTCAAAAAGTTTGCCCACCCCTGGTTTAGACTAATTTTGAAAGCTGGAGATTAAGATTAATGTCTCTTTGGGAGAAAAAGGAGGAAAAATTGTACATAATTATTTCTTATGTTTTAAGTTATTTTTGAAAATTGAGCTTGAATCTAATATATTTTTAAAAGTTCAGGTTTTGGGTGTGTCCTACTTTTTATGTGCCTAACTGTTTCATATTTTACTAATTTAGATGGATAACGGTTAAGGAACAATCTGAAATTCAATGCAGAAGAAGGTAGAGCTAGTGATAATAGGTAAAAGGTAAGTGCTTAGAATGCTCAATAATAGGTAATTGGAGTCTACTTTTACTAAACGATTGTTTTTACCAATTCCTTCTATAAGAAAAGTCATCACAAAATACATTTAGACTTTTATTACATTTAAAGGTATCAGTTTTGCTTTTCTGTAATTACTTTCATTGTCATTATTGTTACTATTATTTATAAATGTTATTATTTTTGCTTTGTGGAATCTTTGTAGCTGCATAACTGAATATAGCTTAAGGTTCCATAGCTTTAAGTCGTGTGTATAGGATATATTATTCCATCTATTTATATTTATTAGTTTTGAGGTGTATCATTGTCTGTTTGGCATGGTTGTCACTTTCTAACTTTTTGAAAGTGAAGTTGTTGCTACTTTTTATGCTTGGTATGTTGAGTTAAAACCTTTTCAATTGGTAGTAGAGAACTTTTATTGAGTGAAAATGTGCAAAATGAATGCTCTTATTTTTAAAAAGTCAGTTGAAATTGAGAAAAAAGTAGAAGGAGAGGTATAAGGGGAAAGTGTGTGGGGCTGAGGAAGAAGATTAGACACTTGTAAGAGAGCTAGATTTTTCTTTAAAGTGTTGGAAATGCCCAGAATGGAGGTAAGTATCCCAAATAGAGGAGTATGGGATTACCTGGAATTCTTTTGGATAGTAGGTTTTTACTTTGTGACAGGAAATGGGTTTGATGGTACCTAGTAGATGGTTGGTGCCCAGTAAAGCTTTGTTTGGAAAATGAGTGAATGAGCCTCTCCCTTCTCCACCCCACTTCCCCAAAAGAGGAAGATATTTTCAGGGCTAGAAAGTAGCAGATTTTTTTTTGTCTTTAAAAAAGTTACTTAAACCCCTGAAACATAAATATATGTGTTTATTTATTTATTTATTTTAGGTGAAGAGAGAGCCTCATTGCTAGCATATTATGCTAAATGCCAAATCAATGAAGAAGGAATAGGAACAGAAGAAAGCAGGATTCCACTAAAGCAAGAATAATTTTATTTACATAGGTAATTGTAGCTACAGATGGAGACATATAGGGATATGAAAGGGTATTGAACATTAGTATTGGTTACCAAGAGAAGGATGGAGTTTGTCTCTAGTGGTCTTGAAAAATAGCCTACTTAGAAGCATTTAACAGCTCTGTGTTTGCTGCTATATTTAAGTCTAAACTTGTCTGACTATGAAGGTCTGTAATCTGGCGCTCTACTTTATCCACTCTCAAGTCCTGTCTTCTCCATCTGGTAGCTGTTAATTACTTCACACCATACTTTTCTTTGAATTCCTGTTTCACTTGCAGTCATTATTCCTAGTTTAGCATTTGATTCACTAATGACTCACATGCTTTAGCTCTTTCTCTTGGTTTAGAGAGGCCTTCTTTGCTATTTCTTTTATGTCATTTGCTATGTTTACCTCGGGAGTGTTGGTTGGTTCTACTTTGTTCAATGTTGGGTGATAGAAAAGATGATGATATTTGTCCTGGAAAAGTTGTATTCTTCTGTTTGTTTTTGCTTGGCCTTATCTTGAGACTGTTTTTGTCCTTTTTTAGTTTGAAGTTTTTGTTATTGGATGTCTTTTTATTAGTTTAGATTAGATGTTATCATAATTGATGTTCTTTTCTTTTAGTCTGTAGGTTTACCCACCAAAGATAACTTTGGCATGAAAAAACTTACTGTAAAATCAGCATTGAAATTTGTTGCCTGCTCCAATCAAGATTTGTAACTACGGGAAAAATCCTTCCAAAGTTTCCAGCTATAAATTTATACCAAGATAATTGCAAGTAAGAGGGCAGTTTCTAAAATAATAGCATATGAAATATGTTGCTTTACTTACATAATTATTGTAATTAGGTGAAAAGTCACTTTTATGTCAATTAAGGGAATTTGATTCTAGCTGTAGATAAATTGATTTTATGATACCTTAACTTTTATATTATTTTTAATGTAACATTCTTAAGTCAAAGGATTTTTTGAAATTCTATAACTTCTTTGATCTTGTGCTTCTACCTCAGCCTCTTTTGGATATAAAGGACTGTTGGTGTACCATGTCATCAAGCCATCTTCCTGCTTCATTTTGCTGCCTTGAACATCTTTAGTCTATAATGACTTAACATTTATGCAGCTTTGTTTTACCTTCCTGATGATATTAGAGTTCAGTGGAGTTGGCAAAAATATAAATGTTTCTTCTTTTCAACATCAAATTGTAATTAAATTTGCCCTGTTTACTGGTAAATCAGAATAAGTTGTGAAATCTCAGATATATTAGTTTACTTAAAATTAAGCACTGTATCTTAAATGAAAAAATTAAATGAAGAAATACTTTGTCTACCAATTGATATCTTTTTATGACTGAAGTTCATGTACTTGCATATTCATCACCTTCATTTAAGTGTAAACATTGCATTTACTTCTTTTCAAAGATTACTATATTACTATAATCCTAAGTAACCCTTATTATGAAGAAAGTTAATATCCTGATTTATATATTAAAGAGACTTAGCTTAAAACAGAATGCTCTCTTAAACTCTTACATCAGAGTTACTGAAATTTGTGTTAGTGTTCATACTCTATGACTTGGGCTTATTCTACTAATTCTTGCTTAGTGTAGAATTTAATTGAAATTGGTATGTGTTTTGAGTCCTGGTCCATAGGATCATCTGTGTTTTAGCCTACTATGTGGAGAGTAAGTATAATTCAAATGCAACTGAGCTTCAACAAATATTTATTAATATGTACACTTTGTCGGTCAAAAATCCCTGCGTATGTGAAAATTATGTTCTGAGGGGGTTGGGAAACAGATAATAAATAATATAATTAAGTAAAGTATATAGTGTATAAAATATAAGTATATAAGATGATGATAAATGCTTTGAAGAAAAATAAATGCATTGTTAGAGAGAAGGTTAAGGGAATATTGGGTGGTTGTGAGTGGGATAAGGCAGGGTTGACATTTTAAATAAGGTGGCCAGTGAAGGTTTCACTGAGGAAGTGATATTTGAGTGGAAATCTGAAAGGTGTGGGAATAAGCTGTGTGTATATGAAAGGGGGAAAGAGTGTTCCTGGTAGAAGGAATCACATGTGCCTTTTTCAGATGGTTAAGTTTGCTGGAGCTGTGATAGGTAGGTTATTATTGTACATTCAGTCAGGCTTTTTATTTTGACAGAATGTCTAGCAAGGAAGTGAAGACTGCTCTGAAAAGTGCTAGAGATGCAATCAGAAACAAAGAATACAAAGAAGCTTTGAAACATTGTAAGGTAACTGATGTTTTGTTCTTCCACAATGAAAGTGTGTTACCTCTTTTTAAGCATTATCAATTCATGATATGTGAATCATTTACTGTTTATATATAACAAAGGTAGTAAGGTTATTTAGTAGAACGGTTAGAGTGGTTATGCTAGGATAAGCTGCTCTGTTGCACTTAATTTTGTCTTTCTCTGTATTGGTAACTTATCAAAGCCAAACTTCTTAAAACCTGAATATCTCTTAGGTATCTTTTGATGTGTTTACTGTGGGACTCTACTGTATCTTACAGTTGTCATTCTTTAATAGTGTGTTGACATTTTAATTCTATTTGGTTTGTGGATTCTAAAGTGCCTTTGTATGCTGATGGGAATGTTCCAGCCCAGAAGGAGAAATTGAATGTGCAGGAGAGATAGAGGGAGTGGTAGGAGTGAAGTCCTTGGAAGGTGAGAGAGGATGGTGTCCTGAGCTTAAGAGGAGGTTCTTTGAAACTTCTTCCATCTTAAAAGGAGGGAAAGTCGATGCAGACCCATACGCTGTCAAGATTAGAGATTTGGGGATGGGAAGATGAGGGTGATCTCCTCTGATGACTTCTATTTTCTTAATGAAATATAAGATGGAAGTGGAAGAGGAGTTGATAGGAGGTTTGAGACAAAAGAGGTATAAAATAAATATTGTCAATAATATTGTGATCAATTTACACTGTGAGAGATGATTACTAGAATTAGTGGGGTGATTACATTGTAAGGCATAAAAATGTCAAAACACGATATTGTACACCTAAAACTAATGTAACCAATATAAGATTGTATACCATAAAAATAAATTTAGAAAAAAAGAGGTATGAAGTAGTTTTTATTCATAGTGGGAAAACAAACACATCATTTAATCCTAAACGATATGGAAAACAAGTTTGTGAATTAACTAGCACTTGGAATAGAGGCAGGCAGGATGGTTGGGTGTTAAGAACAGTCTTATTGTTCTTTTTATACCCAGTATTCTTAAGGGACAAGGGGATGCATTTGGTGGAATCATCAGTATTATTTGGGCAGCTTAAAAAAATATATACCTCATATTTATGACCCCTTAAAATTACTGATCCCGTCTAACTCCCTCTCTTGCTGAGGAAACTGAAGACCCGAGGTTGAGTGACATTTTAAAGATTGTCTAGTTAGTGGTAGATCCAGATTTTCTGACCTTCAGGTAGATTGTCTTTTTTTGTTTGTCCATTACTTCCAAAATTTAATGACCTGCTCTTTTATTTTTTTAATCAGACAGTGTTAAAACAAGAGAAAAATAACTATAACGCCTGGGTATTTATCGGTGTGGCCGCAGCCGAGCTAGAACAACCTGATCAGGCCCAGGGTGCCTATAAGAAAGCAGCTGAACTAGAGCCAGACCAATTGCTAGCTTGGCAGGTATGTAAAAATATTTTTCCTCATATTATAAGAAAGAGTTATTTTCTCATTTTTAAAATTGCAGATAACAGCTTTATTTTAAAAAAATTAAACCTCCACTTAATTCCACATGAGAAAAAAAATTGAAATTTATTGGTTTTTTTAAACCTGAAGATTACTTTTCAAAATAATGGTGCCAACGATGCTATTTTACCACTATTTACCACAATCCAATGAATTATTTCCAAATGATGTTTTCTAAAACTAAAATAACATAGAAAATTTGCAATTCTCTATCTTTGAGTACAGGTTAAATTCTTTTTTCTTATTTAATGGTCTTTATGGGTTTTTTTCTTACTTAATGGTCTCCAAATTTTTCATATTTAATCACTTTGTTTCATATCTTAATCACCGCTTAGAAACTGTGATTAAAAGGAAGTGGTAGGCTCTGGAGTACATGAACCCATTTGTCTCAGGTTTACATGAACAAGAGCATGAATGAGGGTATCTGATAACATGTTTATACAGGTGCTTGTTTTATTATGTACTGATTGGTATAAGATATCTAATCTTTATTGAAACAAAAATGGCAATTTCTACAGACTACTTGGATTTTGTATTTGTTTTACCATATAAAAGTAGTGTTATATGGTAATGTCTTAGAGGTTAAGATTGTATAATAACCATTAAAATATATTTTTTTGTTGTGAAACATTTCAAAGTTCAAAAGAAAAGACAATGGTATGAGCCCTTCTATGCCCATCATCTAGCTTCAATAAAAATCCTCTCAGCCAATTTTTTAAAATCTAAACTTTCCCCTACTCCCTTCTATTCCAAAGTATTTGTAGGCAAATCCCAGACATATTTCATTTATTAATTATAATTATCTTTATTATGAATAACCTTTATAGATTGTCACTTTAGCAAAATAAATGCAAGAACATTAGATGTTTTTGGAAGAGTAATCTCTACTACTTCCTCTTTTAGGGGTTAGCAAGCCTGTATGAGAAATGTAATCAGATAAATGCTAAGGATGACTTACCTGGTGTTTACCAAAAGCTCCTGGATCTTTATGAAAGGTAATCAATATGTGGGGAAAGGCCAGTTTCTTTAAAAGCATGAATTAGAAAAACTGATTAAAAATATATAGAAATACTCTAAACATGTACTAGGAATTGGGAAACATTTTTCTTTCAGACTGTTATAGCAGAATCTCTTGATTGTGATAAGAATAGAATAAAAATACTAATAGTAAGAGGATTAACTAATTTGGGAATTTTCATGTTATTTTCAGTCAGTGTAATTGAAGATAATGTTTCTTAAATCTTTTCTTTTTATGAGAGTCTCATTTTATAAAATTTTACTGTAATATAAAAGCTGTAGTATGTACTGATTTAAAATAGTAACCGACAATATTATTGGGGTATTTAATTTTGGTGTTCTAAGCCTTTGATTGTTTTTATTAATTAGATTCAAAATCTTTTTTTTTTTATTCTAAGTGTTGACAAACAGAAGTGGTGTGATGTCTGTAAGAAACTTGTGGATCTGAATTATCAAGAAAAGAAACACATAGAGGTTGGCTAATGATTTTCTGGGGTAGTATATTTCTTTTTAATAAAATCATTACTAGAAGAAAGCTTTCATTTAGCTTATGGGAAAATTTTAAAAATTGTTATGTAGTATGGTATTAAAATAATTTAGGGGATAATATAAATTACAGTGATTTGAAACTGTAAATTAGAATTCAAATTAAAGGTATTATAACTTCCAAACCTTTTTGAAACTGCAGGAATTAATAAAATAAGTAAAAGCATTATCAATAGAATACAGTGGCCTATTTGTTGGGTCTCTATAGCTGATACTATAAGTTACGATGATTGGGACATGTTGTCATTATTCCTGTGTCTTCTCTGGTAGCTCAGTAATATTTCTAATATGAGGACTATGTAAATTTACCCAATCAACTTATTTTTTATGGAGTTCATAATAGATGGAGTTCTGTGCTTTTGTTATTTTTATATATTAGCAGATAAAAATATTTTTTTTTGTAGATTTTATTTTTCTATTGACATTTTTAGTATTTAAGATAAAATAACAATTTTAAATTTCCTCAATAGGTGGCTCAAACATGGCACAAATTGATAAAGATACGGCAAGAAGCAGGTGCAGACAACCAAGAGCTTCATCAGCTATGGAGGAAATTGACTCATTTGCTGGCTGAGTGTACTGAGGATCAGAATAATGAGACACAGCAATTGGTATTGACCTGTTTATTCCCCTAAATTTAGAAAATGCAAGCATAATGATATATTTACTTATTTATTTATATTTTATTTATTTTTTTGTTAAGCCTCACCCAAGGATATTTTTTCCATTGATTTTGAGAGAGTAGAAGGGAGGGAGGGGAGAAGAGAGAGAGAGAGAGAGAGAGAGAGAGAGAGAGAGAGAGAGAGACGTCAATGTGAGAAAGACACATCAATTGGTTGCCTCCTCCTGGGCCAGATATCAAACCTGTAACCCTGTTAGGTGCACTTGACGGGAATAGAATTTGTGACCCTTGGTTGCAGGGGCTGACACTCTAACCATTGAGCACACCATCCAGGGAAAGGGTAATAGATAAATGTAGAATATAGAAAAGTACTTTATGTCAGACTAGATGTTTTGTAAGTGTTTAATTTTAAATTTAGAGGCTCTTCCTGATCAAGTCAGAATTATTGGCCTACAGTCTCATATTAAGTCTGGACAGAGTGAAATTGGTGTTTAGGGTATCAGAATTTTACTCCCTTATAGGAATCCAAACTAGATCAGTTATTTTTTCACTGTAAAAAAGAGACTATGAAATTGGCTTTCACAAAATTGCTCTAATTTCTAAAAAGTTGTGCCTTAAAGGCATGTTATGAACTAAGAGTACTAAATCACTGAGATTTAACAATTCAAGCAGAGTATTTTATTTAGAGTATTTATAATTCCATTTTGAATACTAAATAATTGAAAATAATTTTTAAGAGACTTAAAAAATGGGTTTTGAACCATAATTGGGAATATCTCCATTCTATTATTTTATATTTGTAAGTTTAAAAATAAACATAGTTTCTTATAGTATGTAGCCACTCAGTGTACACTTTTTAAATTGGATTGAAATTTTAAATGTAAGCAATGATGGGCTCTGTATAGGATGGGAAGCTCATTTCTTTGTAAATTGTTTCTTTGTTTGCTCATTAATTTGTTCTTTTATTCAAAAAATGTTTATCAAGTAAAAAACAAACACAGAAAACAAAACAAAACAAAACAAAATGTTTCTCAAGAGCCTACTGTGTCAGGTGGGTATCCTAAGAGCTGGGGATAAGAATGTGAGAATAAGTTTTGCAGCTGTGTGTTGGTTTATCTGTGTATAGATTTAGTTGTGGAAAAAATTGAGTAGTGACAAAATTAGGTGATTTACCAACTTCTCTTAAATTATATCTTCATATTATGACATCATTATTTTCCTTGAAATAGCATAGGTTACCGGAAAATCAAACATGTACCAAAATAAGTAAAATGTTTTTGTGAATTGTTTATACTGTATCTCTTTAAGAAAGAGAATTATACTTATCCTAAAAATTGGCTTCTAACTATTAAAAATACAATAATAGGGTGTTTGAGGGTTATTTTCAACTTGAATGCTAATGATAACTGCTTTATTTAAGTGTGTTCAGAAACAAGTGTATCATCTAGTTTCCATGTGGATTATTTACATTACCTTTTTTAATTTTATAAACCCTTGTGCTTGACTAAGTTAGCAGTAAAATTTTACTTTATTTATATGGACTTTATACCGTGCTTTACAAAGAAAATTTTAGAAAGTAAACTGTATTATGAGTTTTCATTATAGAGGCATAGGAAATATTTTTAAAACTGTAGAACTTATATAACCAAATGAATGGCATCTTTTAAAGTGCTTGCCTTGGATCCTCGTATTGCTCTTCTGGCTCAAAACATTTAGGATTCTTCTTTTGGAATTTTTTTCCAAGTCAGTTAATGATACTGTATAAAAAATATTTTATTATTGTATAGTCAGTCATATTTTTGGTATTCTTTTACCAAAAGTATAACTTAACTTCATAAAACATATTTTAAGATTAAAAATTTGCTTCCATTAAAGATGTTCTAAAGAACATGCTGGTGATTTCAGAAGAGATGTTTTAAAAATAATCTGAGCAGTAGCAGTTACATTATCCTATAAGGCTCTACTTCTCTGGTTGACTAGTTTGTAGGGAACAGCAGACTTATAAGAATGTTTCGTTAAATTAATGTTGCCAATTTATAGTTATTTCGTATTAGTTCAGTGCAGTCCACTGGCTAGTGGAGTTAGATTGTATTCCAAAACTTATAAATACATGTTTTTCCTCATTGAAATGATCAGGGCCATACCATAAAATGCAATTGCAGTTAATTGAGTGTATAGCTTGTGTGAGTTCAACTGTTTTACATTGTCATTTAAATATGCTACAGATAATAGTTTTTTTGTTTATTTGTTTCAGCTTTTAACTGCTTTTGAGAATGCACTGGATTTATCAGATAAGATTCCTAGTGAAGATCATCAAGTACTTTATAGACATTTCATTCAGTGTTTATCCAAAGTAAGTTGATTTTTAAAATCTCTAATGTGAGTTTTCTATTCTAAATAGGAAAGTGTCCAGAAGTATATTTTATTGCTACTTAGTTAATTTTACTTTTATATTTTCAAGTTTCCTCATGAGACTGCTAGGTTGAAGAAGGCCTGCGAAGGAATGATAAACATCTACCCTACTGTGCAATATCCATTAGAAGTGCTTTGTTTGCATTTAATTGAATCAGGTAATTTCTTTATTATAGTGTGTGTCCTAGAGGTGTGTGAATGTGTTGAGTTATGTTACTATGGATGTTACTAAAATTGTTTTAGTGCCTACCAGGTATAAGGTATTATTTCAAAATTTCTGGACATAAAAAGAAGTACAATGTAATCTTTGTGCACATGGAAAGACTGATACATATAAGAAAGTGTAGTGATGCATAGGAATTATGAGTTGTTGATCAGTGAAGTATTTTTGAAGGTGGGGATTGAAGAAGGTCTTGAATTTTCAATAGGAAGTAGATAAACAGGAGGAGGTAAAATGTACTCCTGATAGAGGACAGAAAAGAGGAGAGGTCAGGAAGGAAGGTTGGGAACCTGCAAAACAACACAGAAGGCAACCAAAGAGCATTTCTCCAGAAAGGAGATTTGCAACTGATGGTTAGGAAGCACTATCTTTTAAAATCTGAGTTATTGAATGGAACTTAGATTACAGTAATGGAATAAAACTAGGAAGAAGTGGTTAGCAGGTATAAAAAGAAGCAATCCGGGGACTTGACTGGCTGCATTTAAGGGGAGGAAGTGGAAGCATGTAAAGGGAAGGTAAGCTTTTAGAGGGGGAGGAGAAGGATAGCAGTAGTGTCACCTGGCAGGAGGGTTTTAAGAAAGGGCTAGTTAACATGAACGATGAACTGAGGTGAAGAAAGATGAGGCATGCTGAGACTTTCAGTACAAAGAGTATGATTGTGTGTGTGTGTGTGTGTTTCGCTAATAGGAAGCTTAGTTCCAAAATTACCCTGTTTCTTCAAATTTTTACAGTAGTCCCAAGGTATTTCCAATATAAGTGGACTGATTTTCTTTATTGTGTTGGCTCTGGTACCCATCCCTATCCCATTTTCTGCTGTAAAAATTGCTGCTAAGAAAATAATGGCTATTTGGGTGGTGGACACATGGTGCAATAGACGGATCTTGTAACATAGAAACCCACACCTGAAACCTATATGGTCATGTTGACCAATGTGACCCTAATAAATTTAATAAAAATAGAGAAATTGATGGCGAATATTCACTCTTTTCTCTCTATGCCTGCTCAGCTATTAGTGGTTTGTACCTTTTCTTCATTCTTGACCTTTTCTTCATATGCCAGTGGCACAAGAGGATACTTTGAAATTTCTTCCAGAATTGAATGCTTTCTCAATAAGCACATTTATGCCTGTAATGTTGATTTGTCAAGTAAATACATATATTCCAAAATCCAACAAAAATATAGAAGAAATAAGATCAACAAATATTCTGTAGACTTTTGCACCTAAATTCAGTATTTGACAAAGTTCTCTAGTAAAGAGATAGCAAAGGGATTATGCTGACTGATTAGAGAGTTAGAGAGTGTGTTGATTTATGTGAAAAAAAATTCTTAAAGAGGGTTTGGGTGGGTATTTGCAGAATTGAAGGAGAGTTGTGTATCCTGGCAAAGGGGAAGTGGGTTGGGTGGATATTTACACATATGGTACACCAAGGTAGAGTGCTTTTCCTGCTCAGTATTTCGTTGTAAGAATCTGTGGAATGCAGCAGTTTAGGCTTAAGTTTGTTCTAATGTAAATCAGTATTCTGGAGTGGAAGTTTAATAGTTAATGCAGGAGAGTAGGAAGCTGCTTAATGTTTCCTTTTTCCTTTTTATTGCAAACTTTTAATACAAACTTTCTGTGTATTAAGAACTTGTGAAAATCTCCAAGGTCTCTATCCTTCTCCAGAGTACTTTAGTATCTGGAATTTGCTACTTGATAGCAGCAGTGACTCACTGACTTCTCTTCTACCGGGGACAAATATATTTCATTCTTATTTGTCGTCCTTTGCATGTGGAAACTTGAAGATTGATTTTCAAAATGCCTCAGTTAATAAAGCTTCACAAAACAAATAGTGAATGGCATTCACAGTAGTCATCTGATGAATGTTATTTCATGCTAAATGACCTTTTTGATTTATTTTATTTTGCTTTATTGCTGAAATGGGGGAGGATAAGAAAGCTTGGTTCTTTAGTCTGAAGAGCTTAAGGTTTTGTGTTCTAGAAATATTAGAAAATCCAGGTGAAAATAAAGAAATGAATACATGCTAGTTTTCCCCCTCTAATTAGGGTTATTTAAAATAAAAATTCTATAGTAGTGATCAATTTCTTTGGGGTGTGAGAAATGAATTCGTTATTTTAAAAAGCTCACTTTTTTTTTGTAGTAAACTTTAGGAAACAGAATTTTCATAGGTATTACTTAGTATCTACCTTGAACTCTTCAGAGTACCTTTATCCTTGGAGATTTAGTATTCATCAGCCCCAAGTCTGGCTTGTCTTATTGAGAAATAATATTGTCAGTCTGTTTTAAAGCCATTAAATCTAGAATCTTGGAATCTTTTAAATGTTAAAAAGAGCAGATAAGTTAAATAAATGATGTCTTATCAGTTGTCATCCTCTACATTTATTTACTAGTATTTTCAACAGGAATTAATATGGAGAAGAGGAGGATTAAGGGTTGAAGCTGGACTATTCCTTATCTATTTTTTAGTTCAATTTAATTTCACTTTCTTAAATTTATAGAAAGTAAAATGGATTTTTTAAATATATAGTTTGATTCCTTGTCTCTCTACACAAGATCAGTTGTGTTATTGCTGCCGATGGTTTTCGGGAACACTATAGAGAATTCCTCTAAGTGCCATCTGGTCATATGTAAAGAATATCTTACACGGGGCTAAACATGAATGTAATCCTTCCAAATCTCTTTTTGTTTCTATAATTGTACTCCCAGATATTAACAAAGGGGGACATGGTAGGAAAGTCTGCCTTGTTTTAAAAGTTTTTGTGTTCCTCCTCTGCTTTTGGAAACTATTTTCAAGTACCTATCTACACTTTGCTTACCTGTGTGCATTTTGTGCGCGCACGCACAGTTCTGGTACCTTAAATATGGATGAACATGGAAAGATGCACTTTTTATCCCAGGGTTTTTTCCAATAAGAACAGTTAGTTTAGCCAAGATATTAATACTCTGTCATGAAGTATGTTTTTGTGGAGTAAGAGAGTTTTGACTCAGATGGGTGAAATTTTAATAGCCATTTCGTTTTCTTTTTTAAGACAGCTTTTGAGATTTAAGTTATGCAGGTTTTGGTGCTTACAAATTTGGTATATGTATACTAATAACTTTTTCTTTTAATACCAGGAAGTCTTACTGAAGAGGGACAACAGTATTGTTGTAGACTAGTGGAAATGGATTCAAAAAGTGGTCCAGGCCTCATTGGTTTAGGCATTAAAGCATTACAAGACAAAAAGTATGAAGATGCTGATAGGAACTTAAGAGAAGGTAAGTATACAGTGGATAGCTTGTAACATGAGGTACTAGTCAGTAGGTATTTATCTTTGGCCCTTTCTTTAAGGAATGTATATTTCAGATAGGAATGAAAAACAATGAATTTACATACTGGGGAGTATGCTTAAGTTTGAATTCCAACTCTGCCACTTATAATTTCAACACCTGGGGAACTTAATTAAACTCTCTGTGTCTCAGTGTCTTCATTTATAATAATATCTCCAGCCTTACATTCAAATTGAGATCTGAATGACACGTACAAGCCTGGCATTGGAAGGAGCATTTCAGGTCAAGAAATGAAGTAGCCTGAGGGTAGAGGAAAGCTGGGCTTCAGGAAACTGCTTGTGGTTTGGCCAGGTTTGCGAATGAAGTATGGGAGCAGGAAGGGGCAAGAACTGAGGCTGAAGAGGGGCTTACAAACCTTGTTAAGCACCCTAGGGCAGTAGGGAACCAGTGGAAGGTTTTAAGCAGAGGAATTTCATAGTGACATTTGTATTTTTAGAAATATTCTCACCACAGTGTAGAGGATGCAGTGATCTGGGATAAAGATGATGGAGGTGTGATTAGTCCGGTGTTAGAGAAATGGATAGGTGCCTGGAAGCAGTGTGGCTTTGTGACTGATTAGATGTGAGAGATACGGGAGAGGTGGGGTGGGGGTCTGATTTGTTTTTTGTTTTGTTTTATTATTTATTGTTAATCCTCACTCCTGAATATTTTTCCATTGATTTTTAGAGAGAGTGAAAGAGGGAGGGGGTGGGGGAGAGAGAGAAATAGAAACATTGATGTGACAGGGACACATCGATTTGTTGCCTCCCGCACAGTCCCAGACCAGAGCAAGGGGAGGAACCTGCAACCCAGGTATGTGCCCTTGACTGGGAGTAGAACCCAAGACCTTTCAGTGCGTGAAGCAAATGCTCTACCCTTGAGCAACATCAGACAAGGTGGGAGGAGTCTGATTTGTTGAGTAGATGGTGGTGCCATTCATCTCAGTAGTTACGGCAAACTTGGATTTTGTGCTTGCTTTTATCCTTTTAGGGTTAAAAGAAAGCCCTCTCTGCACAACTGGATGGTATCATCTGGCAGAAGCCCAAGTCAAAATGCATAGACCAATGGAAGCTGTTCTTTCATGCAATCAAGGTATTCTTGACATGTTTAAGTGTGGCCACCCTGTTTCTTTTCATCTTAAAGGAGAAAGATAATGGTTTTAAAAAAACAGGTATAGCCTGGTGTGTCCTAGGGCCTTCACTAGTTCTTGATTCCTCTGATGTAGATAAGGAAAGGCATCTTGGAGCCTATCTGAATGGCATGGGGTAGAAAATCACAAAAAGTGATTCACTGCTCTGATACAGCTGGAGGCCCAGCCTCTGTAGTTGAGAAACAATTCACCCTGGTCCATTCTAATTCAGCCTCTTTTCCTTCCAGTATCCTTGATTTGCTTCTTATAGATGCATTGGCTAAGTGCTAACCTTTGGTATATAGCAGATAGGGATAGCCATTGTTGTGTTTCAGGATGTTCAGTTTTATCATGTTATGTGAAGATAAAGGTTTTAAATTTAGATCTGTTCTGTTTTAAATTCAAATATTTTCATATAGAGATCAGGGAAGAATTTATACTTAGCTTTAAATTATTCTTCATGTATATTGCTTTGGCAATTTATTCTTATTGTAATGGTAATCCTATCTAATAAAAGAGAAACATGGTAATTAGCCGTACGTCCGCTACCCTTCCCATTGGCTAATCAGGGTGATATGCAAATTAACTGCCAGCCAAGATGGCGGCTGGCAGCCAGGCTACTGACACGAACAGGAGGCTTGCTTGCTTCAGTGACGGAGGACGCCAACGTTCCCCAACTGCTGCTGCTGGGCTCTGAGCTGCTAAGAAACATTGTTACAAATATAGAAGCTAAACAAAACCCCAGCAACCTGTTTTCAGTCAGCCGGGATCTCAGAGCTGGAGTCACAACAAAGTTTCAAATACAGAAAGTAAACAAAGCCAGAAACCTGCTTTCAGCAGCGAGGTCTCACAGCTAAAGCCGGCTCTCAGCTCCAATGACATCCATAAATCCAAGAATAAAAAAAAAAGGAAAAAAGGAGTGGTTGGGAGCTTCAGTCACCCGCCAGCCTGAAAACGGCCCTCAGCCCCTCACCCAGACTGGCCAGGCACCCCAGTGGGGACCCCCACCCTGAAGGGGGTGTGACCAGATGCAAACAGCCATCATCGCCTCATCCAGGCTGGCCAGGCACCCAAGCAGGACCCCCACCCTGATCCAGGACACCCTTCAGGGCAAACCAGCCGGCCCCCACACGTGCACCAGGCCTCTATCCTATATAGTAAAAGGGTAATATGCCTCCCAGCACCGGGATCAGCGGAGCCATGAGGCCTCCTGGCCCCTGGAGCAACATGACAGGGGGCAGCGCCCAAACCCCCTGATTGCCCTGCGGCTCTGTGTGTGACAGGGGGTGGGGCCACAACCTCCCTATCCTCCCTGCTCTGTTCGTGACAGGGGAAGGCGCCCCAACCCCCTGATCGGCCCTGCTCTGTGCCTGATGGGGGAGCTCCCCAACCCCCTGATCGGCCCTGCTCTGTGTGTGACAGGGTGTGGCCCCCCCAAACCCCCCATGGGCCCTGCTCTGTGTGTGACAGGGTGGAGCCGCAACCTCCCCATCGGCCCTACTCTGTGGGTGACGGGGCGGTGCCCCAACCTCCCCATCGACCATGCCTTGAGTATGACAGGAGGCGGCGCCCCAACCCCCCAATTGGCCCTACCCTGAGTGTGACTGAGGGTGGCATCACAACCCCCTGATCGGCCCTGCTCTGTGCGTGACAGGGGGGAGCTCCCCAACCCCCTGATCGGCCCTGCTCTGTACGTGATGGGGGGAACTCCCCAAACCCCTGATCGGCCCTGCTCTGTGCATGACAGGGTACGGAGCCCTAACCCCCCTGATAGGCCCTGCTCTGTGTGTGACAGGGTGCAGAGCCCCAACACCCCTGATGGGCCCTGCTCTGTGTGTGACAGGGTGCGGAGCCCCAACCCCCCTGATGGACCCTGCTCTGTGTGTGACAGGGGGCAGCGCCCCAACCCCCTGATCGGCCGGCTCCGTATGTGACAGGGGTGGCACCACAACCCCCTGATCTGCCCTGCTCTGTGCGTGACAGGTGGCAGAACCACAACCCCCTGAACTGCCCTGCTCTGTGCATGACAGGGGGTGGCGCCCCAACCTCCCCATCGACCCTGCCTTGAGTGTGACAGGGGGCGGCGCCCCAACCCCCCAATCGGCCCTACCCTGAGCATGGCTGAGGGTGGCATCGCAACCTCCTGATCCGCCCTGCTCTGCATGACAAGGGGCAGCACCCCAACTCCCCAATCGGCCCTGCTCTGAGCCCGACCAGGGGCTACGGGGCAGGCACCTAGGGATTGGGCTTGCCCTCTGCCACCCGGGAGTGGGCGTAAGCCAGCAGGTCGTTATCTCCCGAGGGGTCCCACACTGTGAGAGGGCACAAGTGGGGCTGAGGGACACCTCCCCCCTCCCCTGCCAGTGCACAGATTTTTGTGCACTGGGACTCTAGTTAATTATATGTCTCTTAAAAAGAAAAAAAATGTGAAGTGATATCGTTGTCTTCATTCAGATGTCCTTAATTTTGTCAGCTCTGAAGAACATAGATAATGTTGGTGTGTCTGGTGGCAGTCTTCATCAGAAGAATCTTTGTCTTCGTTTGAAAGCAGAGGCTTTGATTAAACTCCCAGATAATGAATCTGCAGAGGAAGCAATTTATACTCTTGACCAGGTAGATTCATCATCAAATTTCCCCCTTCAACTTACTTAGTTTCCAATCAATGAGGCATCAATCACTTTTTCCTTATTACAAGTATTTACTTACATAATTTTGTGTGAGGGGTATGCATTCACTTTTGTAAATCATTCACGTAATTGGAAACTCTTCAAGCTACATTTTGGCTTCTTGGTTAAGTACTTACAATTCTTTTCATATGATACAGTTTCTCTCTAGTTCTTGCTCTTATTATTCTCTTCTATATTTTCCCTGTTAGGTTACTACTTAATTATTGCTAATTTGGGATTTTAAATTTTTTCTTACAGAAAATATTTTATCAGTTACAAGAATAATTAAGGAGACTAGTAGATTCATGGTAGAGAATGTTATTTCCTGGTTTTACTCAATAAAACAATTAAATAAAATTTATATTTTAATATTTTTGGTTCAAGCAATTTATAATTCCCTGGCAAAAAAACCTAACTAGTAAATTATGAATTATAACAACACAGTGTCTTTAAAGATTTTTGTCAGATAAAAGCACTTTTTAATCTAAAAATTACTTTACTCAGTATATTGCAAGGTTTGGACTTTTAAAAAGTCATTTTTTGTATATTTCAAAGGGCTTTGCATTTCATATTATTTCTTTAGATTTGGCCCAGTCGTCAGCATCCTTTAAGAACTAATATCTTATTTTCTACTTGCCTTCCGACCAACTGTGTTTTGTGTGAATGCTCTGTAGAGGTCTTTCCAATATTATTTTATTACAAGGAAAACAAAAGTTTCTTTGGAGAACTGGTAGAGTGCAGGTCTGAGATAGAGGATGTACAAGATGAGCCCAGAACATCTTACAATGCTAGAAAGCAAGGGAACCTTAACAGGACCCCAGCACTGTGTCAGAAGAGCTCAGGAACTAGCATGAAGGATTCTCAATGGCTGACGAGTGGACAGTTTGAGTACAAGTAACTGCAGTGAATTGAAAGGCATAAAATCTGTTTAAATCCATGTGTTCATGATAATACAAAAAAAAAAAAAAATCAAAGCATCCCCAGTAAAATAAGTCTTTGAAGGAACCAATTGAAAAGAAAGAATTAAAGCAGTTATCTTGCTTTCCCTATATGAACTGTTCCTAAGAATAATCAAATAGATAATGAGAGAAGGGAAAATTTCTCTTTGTTGAAGTATTCCACAAAGGAATGATAGGATGAGAAAAATAATCATCATTTTTGCAATCTGTAATGAATGACTAGATCTAGGCATCGAGTATTGATGGCTGCTAGCATCATGAAAAGACAGACAAGTAAACATAACCAAGTGCAAGTCCATGTGAGGTATTCTTGCCAAAACATCAAGCCTAAGTCAGGTCAAGCTTCTAAACCTAATATACAGAAGATACAGGAGACAAAGGGACAGGTCAATGCCATGACAGTATCTTCTGCAAAAAAACAGATTACGAGAAGCTGACAAATGGCCCATATTTTTCAACAGTTAAATTGTAATGGAGGGGGAAAAAAGAGATGGAAGGGAATCCTAGAGATTAAGAGACACTTACGAGACCTATTAGCTACTTGAAATATTTGTACCTTGTTTAGATTTTGATTAAAATAAATAAATTACTCTAATGGACAATTGAGAACTTTAAATACTGACTAATTATTTGATGTTATGATGTATTGGTTTTGTTTAAATGTTTATAATGGTAGGATGATTATGTTATTTAAAAACGAACTTAACTTTTAGTTATAGATGCTGAAATATCAGATCAAAAGTTAAAATATGTGGAAACAATCTAAATAAGAGTGTGATGAAATGGGTGGAGGTACAGAGAAGAAAAGATTGGCTTTGAGCTAAGAATTTTGAAGTTGGATGATGAGTACATGTGGTTTTATTATACTCTTCTCTAATTTTTTATGTATTTGAAATTTTCCCTAATAAGTTTATAGATAATGAAAGTGTTAATAGCTATAGAATTCCAGACCTCTTCTATGGTCATTCTTTAATTAAAGCAAATATTGCTGCATTCTGTTGAAGGAGATGTGTGTAGCAATTCTTTGCAATTACTTTCTAGGTTTCTGATGCAAATAATATCCCAGGACTTTTGGTTCTCAAAAGCTTGGCCTATCTGAACAAAGGCTCATTAGATGAAGCTTCAAAGGTCAGTTTTTTTCGTTCAAGGTGAGATTCTTTTAAAAAGTTGTTATTTTTATTTGGAAATGGAATTGACAGATATCTACTTCATAGATTATGGAAGACGTTCTCTCTTCTTACCCTGACCTAGCTGAAGCTCATGCCCTGGAGGCCTTTATTCATTTTTCCAAAAAGGACTATCTACAAGCTGAAAAATGGTAAGGATCTATAGATTGCTCGTAGATCAAGCCATATCTTAGTTTTTTACATTTTTCAAAAATTCAAAATAAATGGGCTTGATAAACATCTAGTTTTGTATAAATTTGATCTTTGTAAGCTGTATTAGTATTTTTAAGAAATGTATTTAGCATATAACACAGTAACTATAAAAATTTCCATGATGAGTTTGAAATGTGATCAGCTGATTAGCATGTTCAGTAAGCAACATAATGTTTGGTGTGAACACTTAGCACATCGGTAGTGCTAAAGGCCATTGTGCTTTTTAAAGTTTTTTCTTTTTCATTATAATCTGAATCCTGAAGTAGTGACTTGTTTCAAAATCAGCATCCTTGAATCATTCAAACTTTGATTGCTTCAACTAGGAGTCTGCTATATCATATATATTTTAATATTCCTTTTTACTTCCTTTTGGTGATTTAGTTTTCAGAGAGCTCTTGAGAAAGATGCTGAAGTTGCTGAATATCATTACCAACTTGGGTTAACATATTGGTTCATGGGTGAAGAAACAAGAAAAGATAAAACAAAGGCTCTTACCCACTTTTTAAAGGTAAAGTAAGTGCTACTTTCAATTCTTAATTGAAATGGATTCATTATAAATTCAAAAATAATAATTATATAAGGTACTTAAAATTACTACTGAACTCTTTTTCATGTTTCATCTTTCACACATAAGGTTTTATGAGAATGTTATATGGATTTTCAAGGAGAAAATTGAACCATAATAGTTACTTATTTAAGAATCATGAGTTATAGAAATAAGACACTATTATCTCTGGAAAACATAGTTTTTAAGTAATTCTCACTGTAGTTTTATGGGCATATGAGCCTTATGTAACTCTAGATGTTAAAGTCTTATTTTGACTAATAAAAGCAGATTCATATAATAATTCAAATTTCACATTTCTTTAAACAAAGATAACATTTTTACACTTATAAGCAGTGACGGCCAGTTTTCATGTCTGTTTTAAATCTTATATTAGAGGGTGTTTTGGCATATTTTTATATATGTTTAATAAACCTGTTTTTTTTCTTTAATCTGTGTATTTATATTTTGTGCTTTTAAAGGGACCCCTTCAAACAAACTTTAATATTCTATTATTATCAATTTTTAATTGGAAGGCTGCCAGACTGGATACATACATGGGCAAAGCCTTCTGCTATTTAGGTCATTATTACAGAGATGTAGCAGGAGATAAAAACAGAGCCCGTGGATGTTATAGGAAAGCTTTCGAATTGGATGACACTGATGCTGAATCTGGAGCTGCAGCTGTTGATTTAAGCGTGGAGCTTGAAGAGATGGTATGTCTAATAACAAAAACGCTTTTGTCTTTTGTTTTTATGTGAAGTGTAGAAATAGAAACATTTTTATATATATACTAGAGCAGGGGTCCTCAAACTACGGCCCGCGGGCCACATGCAAATACAAATATTGTATTTGTTCCCATTTTGTTTTTTTACTTCAAAATAAGATATGTGCAGTGTGCATAGGAATTTGTTCATAGTTTTTTTTTAAACTATAGTCCGGCCCTCCAATGATCTGAGGGACAGTGAACTGGCCCCCTGTTTAAAAAGTTTGAGGACCACTGTACTAGAGGCTCGATGCACGAAATTCGTGCAAGGGGCTTGGCCCTCACAGCTGCAGCGGCTTGCCTCAGTCCTCGCAGCCCCAGCTTTGTCCAGAAGGTCGTCCAGGAGGACGTCCGGAAGGTTGTTCGGCAGTCTGGTCTAATTAGCATATTACGCTTTTATTATTACAGATACTTACACGTTATTATTTTTATTCTATTTTGTAGATGCAATGGAAATTTTTTTGTCACTGTTTGTAGAGTTAATTTTTTTCCTTTGGCAGACATTAAAATCCTCATCATTTATTGTTGAAACCGTAGTTTAGTGTATACCAGTGTAAGTTTAAAAAATCAAGTGGTAAATGAAAATATATTTGAGTACTTTACATAAGTGTTCTGTATTTTTGTGATATTTGATATTTCTAATATTAGTCCTTTCTTCTTATTAGGAAACTGCCTTAGCTATCCTAACAACAGTAACTCAGAAGGCAAGTGCTGGAACTGCCAAATGGGCCTGGCTTAGGCGAGGACTGTACTATTTGAAAGCTGGTCAACATTCTCAAGCAGTGGCTGAGTAAGGCACCTTATTGTATTTAAACTCTGTTAAACAGCCTAATGGTTTCTTAAACTCCATTTGTACCCCAAATGAACTTTATAGGTTGCCTCTTGCCAGGTTGTGTTTTGAGGGAAGAAATAATAAAATTTATTTAAGGTTGATCGGTTCTTACTATCTTCAAGGCACTGGAGTTGCAAAAATGGATTAAATGATGTCCTGTTGCTAAGGAGATAGCCAATCTAGTGAAGTCTAATAGTAGCATACATAGAGTAGGTTCTCCATAGAAATTCAAGGAATGATGAAAGGTGAGGTTATTACCTTTGTTCTCCCAAAGACATACATTGTTTTTGGGCAGTGGAGACATTGGCAGCTTGAATGGCATTTGGAGCAGCTCATTTTTCGTCATTTGGTTTGAAGTACACTTAAGGGTAAATACAGTATGTATATTTGCATAAAGATAAAGTTGCTTCTGATTTATGTTAATATCTATAATATAGGCGTTTAAAAATTTTCCTGGAAATGGAATTTAATCAGAAATTTAAAGCATTATTCCTGTTTTCTAACTGTGATTATTTCTGTTTTGGTAGGATTGGTGTGGTTTGGAGATGAGGCATACTAAGATATATAGCTATTCTGGTAGGATAGGATGAAATTTTTCCAGATAGTCAAAAAAAGAAATTCTGATTAGCACTTCTTAAAAAAAGTTAGTTTGTTCTTACTTATTTTGAAATTGTAACAAAATTTCTTAGTATTAAGAAATATTCAAAGCTATGAAAGGAACAGGTATACCTGCATTTAATAGCACTTTTACAAATAGAAGGAAGCATGGATATGTGTGATTCAGTTGAATTATTTATTTTATATTTTCCTTTCAGATGTGGAAGTAGTTCTATTACTTTGAGCTCTCTTATTGTTTCTTGAAATTTTAGTTTACAGGCAGCATTAAGGGCAGACCCAAAGGACTTCAATTGTTGGGAATCATTAGGAGAGGCATACTTAAGCAGAGGTGGTTATACAACAGCCTTGAAATCCTTCACAAAGGCCAGTGAGCTGAACCCAGAATCCACATACAGTGTGTTTAAGGTGGCAGCAATACAGCAAATCCTAGGCAAATATAAGGAGGCTGTAGCTCAATACCAGCTGATCATTAAAACGAAAGAAGATTATGTACCTGCTTTGAAAGGTAATTTTTTTAATAGCTCCTTTGACTTTTGTGGTACTAAAGTACAAAATCCTTGGGTGAATTTCCTAAATGTATTCAGTAACTTTCAAAAAGGACTTCTTGCCTGGCCAGTGTGACTCAGTGGTTGAGCTTCGACCCATGAACCAGGAGGTCACTTTCGATTTCCTCAGGAAATTCTTAGGTTCCATATGTAGTTTTTATTTTTTTAGTACCTGTTTACTCTAGTAGAGCCCTGTCATTTAAATTCCTTACTAAATATATGCAAGACCATGCTTTAAAATAATTTTTATAAAATACTATTCAGTTTTGTTTTCTGGAAAGTGTCTTTAATATGCTAAGTTTATTTTTTACATGTTTTTAACAACTACAAACTTATCTGGTTTTAGGTTTGGGTGAGTGCCATCTCATGATGGCAAAAGCAGCTCTAGTTGATTATCTTGATGGGAAAGCTGTTGACTACATAGAAAAAGCACTGGAATATTTTACTTGGTTAGTATTAATCTTATTATTCATTGTGTTTATTTTCTTAATATTATAATAAAGCCAAATTTAGAATAAATTCTATTTAGAATAAACATTCTATGTTTATTTTGTTATAGTGTTCATTATTCAGAATATTAAGCATAAAGAATAATAGACAAACCAATTAATTCTACAACATATTCTAATACATATTGTATTAACTTAGCGCTGGAGAACAGGTGTAATTTCTTGCTCTCAAGTAGGTGACATGCTGGACACATAGGGAAAGGTGGGAAGGAAGAAGCTATCTGCTAGTGGAGCAGCAGCTCTGATAACTCTGGGTTAGTGTTCTTTCAGGAGGCCTGGCAATGTGAGTATCTAGAATTGGAATGAGTGGGAAATAGGGCTTCAGATGCACAGTGTGCTTTCTTTCAGTGGTAAGGGCCTATTTTAGGCCTACTGGTAGGTCTAGAGGTAAAGGGAAATGGATAATCTGATTGCTCCTGGAGAGAACCTGTGCAGGAAAAATGTGGCGCCTAATAACAAGAAAGGAATCAGAGAAATTTGAGTAAATCTGATATTTTATTGAACTGAGCTGAGTAGAAGTGTTATTTGTGGTAAATGGCTTTAAAAGGTCTGCAAGTTAGACAAACATTTGAAGTGTTTTGCTCTTAAACGTCTTTCTGTGTGTCCCTTCCTTTCATTTCCTACTTGCCTTCTCTGTTCCTTCTTGATTTGGTTTCTCCAAGGTTGCTTTGCTTTGAATATGAACCAAATATGAAATGAAAACCTTAGCCTTTTTTCTCCCACTGATTTTTATTGCTACCTTTGAGGTCTCACATGAAATAGCTCTTTCCAAAGAGGGAGGTATTGTGAAGAAGGCATACTTTGTTGGAACTATATTTAAGAGTACATGGTGAACCTTTGAATGCTGATACTTGAGCTAAAAATACTGCCTTTCTTAGCTTGGGAAATTTTGTTCCGGGAAGCAGGTAGCACTCACAACCAATTATAAGGTGGCACATGAAACTTTTAAAGTGATAACCCCACCCTGGCTGGGTGCTCGGTGATTAGAGTGTCCCTTTGGAGTTCAAGAGCACATACCTGGGTTGCAGGTTCCTCACCCTGGTTGGAGTGGTTGCAGGAGGCAACCAGTTGATGTCGCTTTCTCACATCAGTGTTTCTCCTCTCTTCCCTCCCTTTCATTCTCTCTAAAATCAATGGAAAAAATATCCTCCAGTGAGGATTTACAAAAATAAAAATAAATGATAATCCCCAAATTTATATTTACTTCTAAATTTAAAAATTCACACTAACACAATTCTTATGTAAGGGTGATAGAAGTTATTTCAGGTCACAGATATTTTTTATTGAACTTAAAAGGAGATAAGTGTATAGACTGTTAAAATTGTTTCTCTTCATTTGTATCTATTTTCTTTTTTCATGCTGTCAATTTTAGAAATTATGCTAAGATATTTAGGCAAAGGAACTAGAAATAGTGTTGTCCTTCTTCCTGGTCATCGCAGGGGTTTTCAGTGATAACTGCAATAATTATTCCTACTTCCTTGGAAGATACTAGAAAATGATTTTTGGCTGGACTCCATGAATAGAAAAGGCTATGAAAAATGTTCCATCTGCTTGTCCATCTGCCAGTAATATAGCTGTTTGTGATAGCTGATTATCAAAATTTGGCTTAAATGAAATTGCTGTGTTTTATTTATAAGATCTCAAGAAGAGAAAAATGAAGAGAAATGTATAGCTGAGATTTTTCTCTTTCTAAAAAGAACTCCCCTTTATCATCATTATTAATATTGCTGTTTACTTTTTGAGCTTGTCTACTTGCTTCAGTAAATATGAGTTTTTTCATTTTTATGTTTTGACTTTTGGAATTGGTCTCAGAGAGTAAAAGTCCTTTGGACTACCAAATATATTTGGTATGTCATACATTTACTAGTCTTCTTTTTTTTTTTTTTTTGGAAGATCTGAAAGCAAACACTTGAGTTTACAATAATCCACTGTGAAAAAGACAGTTAACAGCTTTACTGCTTGGTTATTAAGCAAACAAACAAACACAAAGAACATAGTTTTTAAAAAGTCAATATTAAATATAAATTGGTTCTGAAAAACTTATTGATTTATCAATGTGATTTCTGCTACTTCTAACAAAAATAGTGAAGAGTACCAAAGAAATGTTTGTAAAGTTTCTGGTTCTTAACTTAAAACAATCACTTCGTTGCCTGGCCAATGTGGCTCAGCTGATTGAGTGTCATACACCAAGAGGTCACAGGTTAGATTCCGGTCAGGGCATATGCCCAGGTTGTGGGCTTGATCTCCACTGGGGAGCCGGTGTTTCTCTCTCATCCATGTTTCTATGTCTCTTTTCCTTCCTCTCTCTCTCTCTAAAAAAAATCAATAAAAACATTTTTAAAAATACACAAAACAATCAGTTCCTTCTCTTCCCTCTACCCTTCTTCCTATTACGGAGGTGATAAGGTATAATTCAGTTAGAAGGAATTTAGTAAATCATTCACTGCACTTAATTAAGGAAGTAGATTTTAATCAGGACTGTATGTATAATTTTTCTTTTTTAATTGTAAGTAATAATGAGGGAGATAGCCTATACTTTTTGGAAATAATTTAAAGGAATTATGCTTTTTTTTTCTCTCCAGGGCTCTGCAACATCGAGATGATGTTTCTTGCCTTTGGAAGCTAGTTGGGGATGCTTGTACCAGTCTGCATGCTGTCTCGCCATCTAAAGTGAATGTTAATGTTTTAGGAGTCCTTCTAGGCCAGAAAGAAGGAAAACAAGTATTAAAGAAAAATGAGCTCCTCCATCTAGGAGGAAGGTAATTTACAAAGATTGCCAGATAATGACATTCAAATTGAATAAGGGCATGATAACCAAACATAACATCCACTTTTATATTTCCATAGGTGTTACGGGCGTGCTTTAAAACTGATGTCTACATCTAGTACATGGTGTGATCTTGGAATTAATTATTATCGTCAAGCACAACATCTAGCAGAAACTGGCAGCAACATGAATGATCTTAAAGACTTGTTGGAGAAATCATTACATGTATGATTTTGATAATTTTTTCATAAACTTAAAAAAAAGTGCTCTGAAAAATGTTATTGATAAAGAAAATAACTTTAGTGCTTTTACATTAACCACATTTATCTTGATATATGTGCTGACATTCAAAGAGTTAAAAAAATAATTTAACTTTATTTTTCAGTGTCTGAAAAAGGCAGTGAGACTCAACAGTAATAGTCACTTATACTGGAATGCTCTTGGTGTGGTTTCATGTTATAGTGGTAAGAATTAATAACACTTCAATAATTTTAGAAGATTGCTCATTTCAGGTAATAAAGTTCAGTTTCATTAAATTCTCTATTTTTCAGCTATTAAAAATTATGCCCTGGCTCAGCATTGTTTCATCAAATCAATCCAGTCGGAGCAAATTGTGAGTGTTCTATGTGTCGGTCAATGAAAAAGGACTTTGAAATTTAGTGTGAATAATTTTCTGAGACTTCCCTGGAGACAAGAGACCTAATTTTTATACATATATATATGTATTTTAGAATCCTGTTGCATGGACCAACTTGGGAGTGTTATACCTTGCAAATGAAAACATTGAGGTAACTGTGCTGACTGCTTTGTCATATTAAAAGTAATGAACATTTCCTATACATGATCTCTTCATAATAGCACAATTTCTTGTGGAGAAATACTTCACACCTTGTTATCTATCCAGTATGCTCTCTAATATGCTAGATAATTAATGACATTCGGTTTATGTTATTGAATAATGAATGTGTAAGATTGATTTTCCTTTCCATACCACTCAAGAAATTTATGGTTTTATAATTATTTTGGTTTTCCATTTAGAGATTAAAACAATTCTATGAATTATTTGGGTATTTATTTTTTTTGTTTTTTGTTTTTATCTGTACACATGTAAGAGGAGTCCCATGTAGGTGATGTTGAAGGTAGGGTGATGAAATAAGGGAGACGATTAGTACTCTCTAGCAGCTTAAATTTAACATTTTTGGGGGGTGATTTATATTTGGTTTTAGCTGATATTAATCCCTTTATAAACCACAGTGTAATTTGTTATACTCAAACAGTTAGAAAATTGGGCATGTGTTTGTAGGTGATGTTTAGAAGTTTCTACAAACCCACAGACAACATCTGTACTGTTTTGTTTCAGCCAGCATATTGAAAATCACTGTTTTAAAGTAGTGTTAGTAATATTCTTAGGAATACATTAAGTCACAGCAGAGATTGCTTTAGAAGATTGTAAATAGAACAAAGAAAAATATTAATGTGTATCTTATTTGAAAAAATACATTATTTTTTAATTTAAACAAAGCAAGATCTTAGTTAATAAACCATGGATGTGGTTTTGCGATAACATGACACATTAGCCCGTTAGCTTACTTTTTTAGAGGAAAAATAAGACTGTTTTCTGTCACACATAGATTATTGAGAAAGTGATATAAAGTAGCATATAATGTTATTTTTTGTATCAGGAAAAAAAAATGACATGCAACTTAATGTGCCCAAGTACAGTATCTTTAAAGTTTCCTGACTGCTTAGCACAGATTATGTCAACCACTCTTGTTGTCTAGTAGCAGTTACGTATCTCAGACTTTGTTGGTTGTTAGTTTTTATCCTCCCAGCTAAGCTCAAAGAGAGGGGAATAGATACAGCCTTACTTACTTTCTTCAAACCTAGGAAATATATGGGTAATTTGTTAAAAGTTCTACCAAATGTAAAGTGAACATCTATATGCCCTTTCACTGGGACCAGAATCCCTAAACCTGTAGAGAAATCTGATGTAGCCAGGAGTGTTCTGGTGGAACACTGATTTAAGTGTTGCTAATTGTGTTTAAGCAATTTTAAGTTCATACATGTATTTATGTTGATAAGTCTCGGTTTTCTTATTCTCTTACTTTATGATTTTTAAACATAAACAATTTAATATTAAATGTATAAAATGACTTGATGTATTATTTTTTGTTTTTTTGTTTCCTAGCAAGCTCATGAAGCTTTCAAAACTGCTCAGTCCCTTGATCCATCTTATTTAATGTGCTGGATTGGACAAGTAAGACAACATTTAGTTATTAATAATTCTGTTGACATAAATAACCTATTAATATAAAGTGGTATAAATAACCTATTAATATAAATAACAGTGATCATAATAATAACAGGCCCTTTGTTCACATTATTTCAATTGAACTTTCATCAGTCCTTTGAGTTGGTGGTAGTTGTTAAACTTTTTGTAGATGTGGAATTGAAGCTTAGAGACACTGAGTATTGTGCCCAAAGTCATACAGCTTGTAATGATTAAGCATTGATTTGGGAGGCTTTTAACCCCATCAGTCTGACATTATTATGCTTAAAGAATAAACCAAGAGCTATGTAATGCACATTTACCCCTCCCCCAAATGAAAATTTACAATATCATTTTGATTGTTTTCTCATTTTCTGTAAAGTTTTCATAATTTTATTTGGTACTTGTTTATATGAGTCTGCCAACCCCCCCCAAATTTAGACTTTTGTACTGCCAAATAGGAATCAGGATACTTGGTTGTGATCTGAGTCTATCACTGACTAATTTTTTTTTTTTTTTAACCTTAACAAAATTGCTGGATTCAATGTTCTCACCTGAAAAAGAAGGGGATTATAAAGGGTAGCCTCTAAATCCTGTGTAGTTGAGAAATTAGTAAGTTGTTGATTTTATCTTATTTTTTGTTCAGCGAATACTAGAGGCATCACCCATATCAGAAAATCATTAATCTGGGTTTTGATAATTTTTATTGTACTTTTAACTTTTGGGTCTAATTCTAGCTAATTGGTGAAGAAGCAGAGTTAGCAAGGCAGACTTCCTGTTCCCGTTAACTGTGGTAGCATCTGGGAGCAATGGCATTACTATACTAATTTCTATGTAATTATTGGACACAAGGGGCTAAAGAATTTTCATTTCTAACTGTTCCAAGGGATGCTGCTGCTGCTGATCCAAATGTAGCACTGCTCTAGGCTCATTCATCTTAGATGTTGTCAGAAAAGCGTATATTTTTTATTTTTCAGATATTGTAGCTCTTAAAAATAATTTATTTCAAGATATAACTAGTAAATTTAATTAAAATATTAACAATAGAAGTGAAACTTAATATTAATTTTTTAATAATATTAGTAATAAATGATAACTAAAAAAACCCTAATTTCTTTAAAAGATAGATGGTCTTGAAACTAATTCTAAGATATTACATAGTCTCATAAAATCAATAGCATAGGTATACTATTTAAAATCCTGAGGTGGTTTTAAAAATGAACATGTGTGACTCTCCCCCGTATCTATGGAAACTAGGGGAGAAGACCTTCTTTTAAAAAAGCTACCCGGTGAATCTGAGCTGACCATGTGATTAAGAATCCTATTCCAGACAAATACCAGTATGAATTAGTCAAGGGTGAGAGGAGAGGAAGGAGGTTGCAGGTGGCATTCTGAAAGCATTTGTCTGCTTTAAGGTCCAATTTAATAAGTCATTCTTGTTCTCTGAGCCATGGGAATATGGTAGCTAAGACTGAACTAGAAATTAACTTTACTTTTAAGCACAGCTTTTTAACCTTTGTTTTTTCCAGTTTCATTGATGATAATGATGATGATGGTGATGATTGATGATGATGATTTCTCCTTTTAAACACATTCAGAACCTCTTTTTTCTTTATAGGCCCTTATTGCAGAGACAGTTGGAAGTTACGACACCATGGATCTTTTCAGGCACACCACAGAACTCAGTATGCACGTAAGAATTTGAGCATTCTTCTTAGGATTCACTAATGAGAAAAGTATTATCCTTGTTGAGAAAATGGATACTTAGTGGTATCAGATGTTAATGACAGCACTTGTCTCTACTGTTCATTCTTTCTCAAAGGCAGATAAGCTATCTTTAATTAAAGACATCAAGATCTGATGAAATGACATTGGTATTCAGTAGATACAGTAGTAGTCATGTAAAGTAGAAACCGAGACTCTAGAAAAAATAAACATAAGATAAGGACTAACTTGGTTGATATTTCTAGATTATTTATGAAAGTGTTTTACGATTCTTTTGATTGGTAATTATTACTTTGACCTATGAGAATGGTGCTGAAAAGCAGCAAACTAAACCATCAGGCGGAGCTCTATTTTCTGCACTTAATTTATCCCATTTGATTCTTCTACTTAGGGTTGAAGCAAGTGATTTAAATATGTTCTTAGCTGTGTTATATCATAGTGAACCTGTAAAGGCACTTAACAGTTGACTTAAAGAAAACTAAGGTGTGCTATTTATTGTATTGAAGTGCATTGTTTCATTTCTTCATTTTGTATTGGTATATTTATTACCCTATGTCCACTTGTTAACTTCGGCTTTTTTAAAGACTGAGGGAGCAATCGGTTATGCATACTGGGTCTGTACTACATTGCAAGATAAAAGCAACAGAGAAACAGAGCTGTACCGGTACAACATCCTCCAGATGAATGCTATCCCAGCAGCACAAGTTGTTTTGAGTAAATACATAGGTAAGGCACCTGTTATATAATGGCAAGATATTTTAATAACTGTTGAAATAATTTAATGAATTTTTTAAATTAGTTAATTCCAAATTAAATATTAGTATTTCTTAAGACATGAATTTGCCTTTTCTACCCCCAGTGGCCAAGGAATCTACTTTTTAAACTTTAGTAAGGACTTTGAAGAGTGATGAAATGTTAGCTAATGATTCAAGAGAAAAGTGATTTCCATGGCCCTAACCGGTTTGGCTCAGTGGATAGAGCGTCGGCCTGCGGACTCAAGGGTCCCAGGTTTGATTCCGGTCAAGGGCATGTACCTGGGTTGCGGGCACATCCCCAGTAGGGGGTGTGCAAGAGGCAGCTGATCGATGTTTCTCTCTCATCGATGTTTCTAACTCTCTATCCCTCTCCCCTCCTCTCTGTAAAAAATCAATAAAATATATTTTTTTTAAAAAAGTGATTTCCATGTTGCAGTGGAAACATTTTGGAGCCTAAAGGGCCCAAGTTGCTTCTATTCTAGCTCTGCCATTTACTTTTGCTACAGTCTTAGGCCATGTATTTTACTTCCCTTAACTTCTTTTAACCTTGGAAAGTAGAGATAACAGCACCTAGGCTGTAGCGATGTGAGAATTAAATGAGATAATGTGCTTTAAGTTTCAAACCCAGTGCCTTTAACCTCCCACTTTAATACCTGATTTTTCTTTAAGATACTGGAAAAATATGTTTAGAAAAAGGATAGAATGGTGAAGTTTTATTAACCATCTATGATAATAATTTCCTTTCCTTAATAAAACTACTATTGAATTTTAATCTCCCCTCTATCATTTAGTAGCCATAATAAAACCCTGGGCATGTTACCAAATTTAATTTTAGTTTTCCTACCTGTAAACCCTACAAAATGTGCAGAGTAACTGGCATACTTTACATGCTCAAGAAATGTTAGTTTTGCTAGTATTTTTTAAAATCTTTTGACAAAATTAGAATAAATAAGGCATTTTAATATAAAGAATCAAATAAATTGTGAAAAGCTGAAGAGAAAATGCCTCATCATAGATATTGAAGGGTAGTAATATTCCTCCTGCATTGAGCCTGGGGCCCTTGAGGAGAATGCAGTTATTTTAAAGTCAGCACTTTGGGGCATCCACATGTTATTGGTATGCCAAAATGAATGACTCTAATGAATACCTAGAGCCTCTGTGAAAGCGTATGATCAGAAATTTCATTGAAAGGTTTCCTTACAGAATGGGTAACATTTATGAAGGATTTTCATAAAGGGTAAATCTTGAGTTTTCTGCGAAATTCCGATTCCTAGAGCAACAAACAAATTATTTCCTGACAGTTTTACACAGTTACATTTTTAACTCAATAGTGGAGTCATAGTGATAAAAAATTATTTAACAAATTCAACTACATGTGCTTAGCCAAAAATGAATAACTTAGGAGAGAAAAGAGGGAGAGCACAGTGTCTTCATCTGTCCTGCTAGGTGCTTCAGGACGAGTGGATGGTAGGCACGGTCTCCTTTTACTCAGTTTGACTCCATTTTGGTGCTCCTCTCCTTGTGTGGTAACTTGAGGATTTTTCAAGAATAACTTGACTGTGATTTTCGCCTTATGCTTTGATGTTAGAATCTAACCATCGTATAAAGTATGATATGATTTGCTAGGGCTGACCAGCAGCCCCTGAACAACAGATGAACAAATTGCTCCGACACAGTTTCACTGTGAAAGAGAGAGCTATGGGATTGTCTGGCCAAAGGGACCAGGCAGCCTCAGTTGTCTGCCTCATTAGCCTTTTATTGCAGTTTTTAAAGGGTGTCCCAAAATTCACGCAAGAAGTAATTTTGATAGAAAACACAGGTTTATAATTAAAAATTGTAATTTTTTTATTGATTCATAAAGTATACAGTATAGGGTTATGTATGGAATAGCATATCGGGTAAATGGCCTCCACGGCTTTGCTGGCACATATGCACTCTTTTGTTGAAATTTGGCATGACTGTTTTGCATAAATGTGGCTGAATTTCGATGAGGCTCTTTTTCATCTTGATGGCTTGGTTAATCGACAGAATTGTCGCATTTGGGGTTCAGGAAATCCATGAGTGATTGTTGAGAAACAAATGCATCCACAATGTGTCACTGTTTGGTGCGGATTTTGGGCTGGAGGCATATTTGGACCATTCTTCGAAAATGCGGCTGCTCAGGCAATAACAAAAGAGTGCGTATGTGCCAGCAAAGCCGTGGAGGCCATTTACCCGATATGCTATTCCATACATAACCCTATACTGTATACTTTATGAATCAATAAAAAAATTACAATTTTTAATTATAAACCTGTGTTTTCTATCAAAATTACTTCTTGTGTGAATTTTGGGATACCCTTTATCTTTAGATACTGAGCAATCTTGGGGGGACATGTGTTTACATTGTCCTCTAGGTAAGGGCATCCAGGGATTAAGCATAAGGATTCCAGTCAGCACCTGGGGGTCTGCACGTGCACAGACTTGTTTGGGAAGGTCAGGAATAATTAGGGATGCTGCCTTCGACACTCCCCTAAGTCTCCCCTAAGTCAGAATTCTCATAAACAGGGCAGGCGGCCTTCCACACACTTCCCTTTTCTCAGAATGTCCTCCCTACAAACTTTCCAACCAAGTCTTGTGTGCTCCCCAACAATGATTATACCTTATTCTTTGATGTTAGAATATAACCATCACATAAGCTATGATATGATTACAGTATATTTTGTTAAACAAGAGGGATTTGAAGGCTTGCTTCCCAATACAGCTTTTAATTAGATCAGATGTTTTCTTTGTACATAATCAGATGCATGATTTCTTTAGACATGAAAATTTCAAAATGCTGCATTGGCAATTCCAAAGTCATTCTCTGTTTCTAGTGTATGATACTGAGTTATTTAAAAAAAACATACATAGAAATTGGAACACAACCCCCAAGAAAAATTAATCCTGGGAAGGTTTACATGATTAGCTAAAGAACTGAATTTTCCTTATAAATCAAATGCATAGTTTTAACATGAGGTACATTTTCAAGTTATTTTACCATTAGGGATAAAAATGTTTAAACTTTAAAACATTTAAAGTATGTAGTAACTGTAAATGTTACTGAATAATTTGGAAGAATTATAATTTGTAGTAACTATAAATGTTACTGAAAAATGTGGAAGAATTATAAAATGATTACTGGTATTTCATAGTCAAGATAATCAGACTGCTATTCTTAACAATGCCAAAGATTTCAAGATATACTCTGTTGTTTAAAATATTAAAGAATTGAAAATAAAACTAATATCTCATAAACACAACCATTATGTACATGTAAAGAACAGATATTTTTGATTTCCAGAAAGAATTCCAAACTATGCTCCAGCTCTCACAATGTTGAGTTATTTAAATGAACATCTACAGCTGAAAAAGGAAGCAGCAGATGCACTCCACAGGTAAACTCTGCCTTTAACCGAAATGCTGTCCTTATATGTTAGTGGCCTTTTTTTAATTTAGTCTCACTCTCATGAAGAAGGTACTAAATAAATGTTTTCATTTTTTCCTAATCTTTTGTTATCTGTTATTACTACATCTATGAAGGTGAAAATACGCAGTTCAAATTTTCAGCTATATTTTGGTTTCTGTTCCTTAATCTGAGGGAGGGAGGGATGTGGGAGGGTGAGAGGGAGAGAGAGAGAGGAAAAGGGAAAACCAAACTAAAAATCCCTCAGATTCTATTTTAGAAAAATCCATCCCTTTAGACTTTGTCTAGCTTTATTAAATACATATTTATTCAGAGAAGAAATCAGAACATTATGTATCTGTTTGAGCCACTTTAATCTTCTCTGTATGTACCCATCAGTAAGTGTTTGTTGAACTGCTTTGAATCCAGCAGTGTCCTGGGCTCTGGCAGCTTAGCAGTGAGTTAAAACGGACACAGGCCCTTTTTTCATGGAGCTCCTGTTCAGGTCGGGGAGACCCATGTAGGTCATCTGTGATGGTAGTAATTGCTAAGAAAGAACATCAAAGTAGAGGACCAGAAATTACAGAGGCAGGCAATGAATTTGAGATAGGTTTTAAGAAGGGTGGGTTTAAAAGGAGGCAAATGAGGCCTGGCCTTGATGAAGTGAAGCCACAAGCCATTTGGATGTCAGAGCGCTCCAGGCAGAAGGAACAGCAAGAGCAAGTGCTCTGAGTCAGGGGTGCACTTAGCATGTGGAAGAAACAAGGACATGTGCTCAAGTACAATGACTAGACAGGAGAACAGTAGGAAAGGAAATAAACTTGAAGTTTTATTCTCTGCAAATTATTTGATTCGTGAATAAGAAAATAACTTGATCTTGTGAGGACCAGATGAAAAGTTTAAAAGACCTGGTTGCATTCTTGCCCTCAATTTAAATAAATAGATTTTTAGAAGAGGCCTTGTTAGATTAAAAAAAAAAAAATTGAGGTTTCCTAAATACTTTGCCATTTTTTTATGGATCTCTCTGTAGTTCAAAGGAGTAATCACTAGATGGTACTGGAGGTTATATAATAAAGTTATTTTTCCAGGTTTAGTGGAGAGGATTATGAAAAACCACAATTATATTTCTTTCACTGTCACAATAAACTTACCAGTAAACAAACTGTATAACTATGATAGAATACAACAGTGAGCAGGATTTTTAAACAGAAAGCTAGAAATCTTTAGGAGTGCTCACTACTTTTTTGGGGTACATATTATAATCACACATTATGAATCTGGTACTGGTTATACCTTCAGCCTAAAATGGCAACTCCACAGTCACTTGAATATGTACCACTCTTTCTTACCTGTTTACCACTGTGGTTTTTGCCTTAAACAGGTTTTTGAGGCTTGAAACTACAAATTAGGTATTAAATCTAACCAGAAGTATAGTTTTTAATACAGTACTGTCTCTATAATACTCTCCCTTAGACTTCTCTGGCTAATTTTTGTTTTTCATGTAACATCAGGGGGAGTAGAAGCTTTTCTTGGATGTTTCTTCCTGGCTAATCCCCTTTAAACAGAAAATAAAATAAAATGAAATATTACTAAGTATTTCATTCCATTTAGTTGTTAAACATTTCCCTGGTTGCCCAAAAGGGACTGAGCAGGAGAAGGTAAAAATCTGGGCTTTCAGCATGTTGGTGAATTAATTCTAAGCCTCTGAGGATTCCTTGTAACGCCTTCCTTTCTCTGAACTCAGTGTTGCTCACATACATTTCTGTATGTAACTGGTAAAGGCACATGAAAGCAATCAATTTCCTGATGTCCTAACTCAAACTATTACATAAATATTTTAGAGTGCTTTCTATGTAGTTCAAATATGTCAAAACTTAAAACATCAACATAGTTGTTTTTCCATTCTTAGATTAAAATTTTTGGAATATTTAAAACTCACACATGATAAATGATTTCACTTATAAGATTCACTTTGTTAAAGTAATTTTCCTGACAATCTAAAATCTAAGTATTAAGTATTCTTTTGTGGTACCAGTTTAATAAAGTTTGAATAGATGTTATAACTTAGCATTAAAGAATTAGTAGAATTAAACAAAAGCAAAAATCTGTAGATTCAGTTAATGAAGAAGGGTGAAAAAATGCTATTGCATATAGATAACTTAAAATGCCTTTTTTTTTTTTATTTTTTTAGGGCAATTTTGTTGTTACAGAATGCAGAAGACCAAGTTAATTATCATGATGCAATTAGAAATTATGGCAGATTGTTATGGTAAGCATGTTTTTCCCCCATTAATTCTGTGACCTACGTGATATTTCTGGTGAAAGCTATGGAACTAGTGAGGTGATGACAAGTTTCGAGAGTAGTGGGCTGTTGACATTCCGCCAGGATATATAATTCCCATAAAGGCAGGCAGTGTTAACAGTTTTCTGTACCTCGGACAATACCTAACTCCAGTGTGCTTTATGAGGAGCAGGTTTAGAACTGATGGCTGTGGACTACATAAGAGAACATTTGGAAGAGAGGCAGTTGCTGTCTCTAAAGTAGAAGCCTAATTAATTGGAAGAATTGGGTTTATTCTCATTTTCTGTATATTTTAAACTGGGGATGGACATTAGGAATTCAGAAACATTCTGAATTCTTTTGAAATAGTACATAAAAATGTCTGTGTGTGTGCATTTGGTGAGTTGGGAGAGAGCCACATAGCTTCCTTCAGATTCTCAAAGACTTCTTACTTCAAAAAATATTGTTTTTTAAAGATTAAAAATGATTCCAGTTGTTTTAGAGGATAGAACTAGGACCAGAGAATAGGTGTTATGGGGGTAAGGTTTTAGTTGAAGCTAAGGAAGCATTGCTCAAGTTAAGAGCCGCCCCCAAATTGAATGTATTTATTCATAAACAGTCTAAAGTAGCTCTTTCCTTTATCAAAATATTTATCAAATTTGATTTTATTGATTTTAAAATTCTTTCACCTTTGTAAAATGAATTTTAGAAGCAAAGATTGCTTGTATTTTTAGTTCCCACCCACTCCCAAGATTAAAAAAATTTTATGAAAAGATTTCCAATAACACATTAAAAATAGAAATGGCTTCTGGTTATAGTGATGGATACTAAGAATATCAAATATACAATGTTTCTATTCCAGGTGATGGCAGTTTCTCTTCATTTTTAAATAAGCAAAACAAGTTATTTTTCTGTTATTAAGAAGTATTACATTTAGCATCAGATATAACAGATTTTTACTTTTATATCAATAAGTACAGAAAAGAGCATCTATAGTTTTATCTGTGGAATTTTAATGTTTCTATGTGCCCTCCAAACAAAGGCTAGCTTTGATTCTGACTAAGGAATTTTTTGACTTGTTTGGCTTGTCCAAGGTGCTGGAACCATACTTATGGGAGTAATATTTAATGTGTTAAGCTTAAAAATGTAGATTTCTGTATAAAAGAACTTGGAATTATTTTTATAATTTTGGATTTTAATTCAAGTTTGTTTTTAAAAAACACTTTGCACTTTAGCAAAACTAGTCATTTTCACATATTATTTAAAAGAAGCCAAGTGTGAAGTTAAATCCCCTTAGTATATCCTATGTGAAATAAGTGATACGCCTTTTATATTAAGTTCTCTCTACAGCTTTAACTCTGATAGATGAAGTAAAGTTATTAGAAGAAATGTGGTATAATAATGTCTCTATATTTTGATGATGTAAGCCAAAATTATTTTTTATATTAAAAATAAATTTTGTTTTGCTTCTTAGTTCCATTGGTGAATATGATAAAGCTATCCAGGCTTTTAAGTCAACACCCCTTGAAGAGTTAGAAGACATCATAGGGTTTGCACTGGCTTTATTTATGAAGGGTCTCTATAAAGAGAGCAGCAAAGGTGAGTATGTTGCTTAAAGCTGAAGATCACATCTTACTTTTCCAGGGTTCAGAGGAATTTGATCACAGTGACCTTACATGAAGAAAGATGTAATATTGAGATGGGGTACAGGTTGCAATGTTTATGAACATCTGACTAGGAGTCAGGAACAATACCAGGAACTTTTTATCTGTTTGTCAGTTAGTAGGTTATTATGATGAATAGTCCTTATAACAGTGTTATTATCTGTGTTTTATTTTCATTATTTAGACAAGGAAACTGAGCCCCAAGATCACTTATGGTTGACATGAGTTAGCATTTGAAAGCAGGTCTTTACTACTTCACAGTGCTTAAATGTAAATTTCTGATAAATGAAGATCTCAACCATTGTTAATAATAGTATATTTTGGTTTCTGCAAAAGTGATAATTGAGTGCATTTTCACATACATGGGCCTAAACTCTTTGTGTGCAGCTCATTGTAAGGATCTATTTGATGGAGTTGCTGGTCTGCACATGGAATTTGGTGCTATCTCTGTGGCTGCCGGCCTCCACTTGTTTTGAAGATGGTGACTAAGAACTCTCTCAAGATTCTGAAGATAGATATTAGGGAACATCATATAATAATCCCAATGTTAGCCCCAGAATCACCTTGGAATAGCTAAACAAGTTAGATTATTACACATTTTTATTTCATCTGCTTGAAAATAAGGGAACAATAAGATATAGTTTTAGTTAGATCTTTTGAAAAATAGAATTAGGAAAGGAAAAATCTGATAGATTGTCAATCAGGATTTCTTTTATATTGTTTTTGTTTGTTTTCAACCCTATATAACAGCCTATGAGAGAGCCTTGTCTGTTGTTGAATCAGAGCAAGACAAAGCCCACATCTTGACAGCTCTGGCAATAACGGAGTATAAACAAGGAAAAATGGATGTAGCCAAGACATTGCTGTTTAAATGGTATGTGTGGTTGATGTAAACAGTTAACATGACTAAATACTTAAATAATGGTTTCAAATTTGGAGCCATGTAAGCTGAAGTTCTCAATGCTTTAGGAACTGTTTGGTCAACAAAAGAGATTAGACCCACCTGGTTCTGAACTGATGGTCACAGGTGGAACTAGAGATTGTGGCTTAAATCTTAGTCCTGGATCCATCCAGTCCTTCAAAATCATCCTGTGCACTGTGTTTTATTCATTCATTCATTCATTCATTCATTCATTCATTCATTTATTTTTTAAATATATTTTATTGATTTTTTACAGAAAAGAAGGGAGAGGGGTAGGGAGTTAGAAACATCGATGAGAGAAAAACATTGATCAGCTGCCTCCTGCACACTCCCTACTGGGTATGTGCCCGCAACCAAGATACATGCCCTTGACCAGAATCGAACCTGGGACCCTTGAGTCCGCAGGCCGACGCTCTATCCACTGAGCCAAACCGGTTAGGGCTACTTATTTATTTTTTAAAAGAGTAATTTATCACCTGATCTAGTAGGATCTTAAAATTTTAATGAAGGCAGTTGTAACTGTCTTGTTTTTGGCCTTTTGCATCCCCAAAGAGATTTTTTCCTTTTTCAAGTTAACATGATAAAGTTAATTTAAAGTTGAGTCTTTTTTTAAAAAATGCTACCAATATAACTTGTATCTATTTCTATATTTTGAGCATAAATTAAAAATAACAGCCGATGATATATGTGGTTATTCATATAGTATTTTTTGACTTCTGGATTTTTTTTTTTTTAGAAAGTTAATCTTAATTTTTTCAGAAGCAATAGATGATTAAGATAATGCTATTGGACAGTGGTTATCAACTAAGTGCTTTATTGGCACTTTCAGTGGTACAAATACCCATAGTACAGAATGGTTTCCCCATTGCAGGAAGAGTGCATCTCCTTCCCCCACCCATTATATGCTAATGACGCTCCTCAATCATTGTAAAAACACAGAATTACCTCTATGCATTATTTTGTAACGTTTTGAATATTTCTATTACATTTTAATAAACTGTTCAAAAAGTTTTTAGATGTTCTCCTTTTTTTATGGTACAACATTCGTAATCATTATTAGAAATACTAAGTTTTTTCTGAAATTTAGATATAATGACCAAAAAGTAAATTTGGCTATTGCTGCTTTGTGAAAGGCCAGATAGTCAGGGAAATTGCTGTTACAAGAAGCCAACCAGTTTGTTCTTATATTTATCTCAAAGCTGGGCTTAGTTTGGTGAATCGTTAAGTAAATTGCTTTTCCTACTAGATGTTAAATATGTTGTAATAGATAGGTACAGACTACTGTATTTATAACTAATCAGCATTTAAAAAATATATTTACAGTTCAGTCTTAAAGGAGCCAACCATAGAGAGCCTTCAAGCCCTGTGTGCCTTGGGATTGGCAATGCAGGATGCTACACTGTCAAAAGCAGCACTTAATGAGTTATTGAAGCACGTCAAACAGAAAGACAATGATTATCAGAGGTGCCTTCTTACTTCAGCGATTTATGCGCTGCAAGGCCGCAGTGTGGCAGTGCAGAGACAAGCATCTAAAGCTGTTCACAGGTAAATTCTGTGCTTATAAACTCGGGGTTGAATTATACTTGATGAGGTCGTCTCTGACATTTGGATCTTATTAGGAATATAAAATGAGGTGGTGCACATATACATTTGGAAACCAAAATGTGTTTTTTATGAAATTGCCCATAAACTTATATTATTTCAGCTATGAAGTTTTTTTTTAAAGTCAGTTAATAGAGAGAGAGAGAGAGAACAGAAATTTTGCCCTTCTCAACTTTTAGTATGAAAGCCCTTACTAATTCTCAAGTTTGTGATGTCAGGTTGTTATAAGATACTGTCCATTTTGATGGCATTAAGAATATTTTGGCCACATAAGCATTCATTAACGCATTCAAAGTTTGGAATATAGAAACCTGTTCTCAATAGCAGCAGTGGTATTTATCTTCAGCAGTAAAGTGTTATATCATGAGTTTGTTTTTTTTCCATAGCTCTCATCTCTTTATATTTTCTTTGGACACATATGTTACATTTCCTTAACCTTCCTTAATTAGATCTTATGGCTTTATAATCATTATATTGCTGGTTTTTTTTCCTTATTTTCATAAGGATTGTTGTATGAAAGATATATAAAATATGTTTTCTAAAAATTAAGACACTCAACCACACATGGACAATTATATCAAACTAGAGGCCCAGTGCACGAAATTTGTGCACCAGAGGGGGGGAGGGTCCCTCAGCCCAGCCTTGTACCCTCTCACAATCTGAGACCCTGGAGGAATCCCTGCAGGATTGGGCCTAAACTGGCAGTCAGACATCCCTCTCGCAATCCGGGACCACTGGCTCCTAATTGCTTGCCTGCCTGATTGCCCCTAACCACCTCTGCTTGTCTGCCTCATCACCCCTAACTGCTCTCCTGCCTGCCTGATTGCCCCAGCTGCTTGCCTATCTGCCTGATGGCCCCTAACTGCCTCTGCCTCTGCCTCTGCCCCTGCCGCTGCAGCTTCGTCTGGAAGGATGTCCAGAATGACATCCGGAAGGTCTTTTGGCTTTCCGTTCTAATTAGCACATTACACTTTTATTATTATAGATTGTTTCAGCTGTCTAAAGGATTTTAAGCTTAGGTACTAGATAAAATGCTGGTTGCTTGGACTTTTTTGTGGTTAAAGTAACTCCCATCTCTAAGCCCTCTGCTTTTGATGATCTCTGTAGTAACCCAGCTGATCCTGCTCTTTGGTCTCTGTTGTCCCGAGTGGTTGCTCAGTATGCACAACGTAATGCAAAGGTGAGTAACGTTCTAAATTCTGGCAAAAAGATTAACTAGCCTGTGATGTGGTAAATAATATAATTTTAAAGTATTAGCATTATAATTCTGCAAAAAAATTAACTAATGCAGCAAGGGAGTTCTGTTATTTAACCATAATTTCCAATAGTTACTCAAGAAGAGTACATTGAGTTTCTTCCATGTACTCTTGTACTGCTTTGGGTGTTATGGACGATGCAGAGAATTAGATGGACTCTTGAACATATACAGATTATGTTAATGACTATGTGATAAGATTATGCTTATAATGTTGCCACTTAATAAGCATTAGCTATTGTGTTTTGAATCCCCTAAGATAAATTTATTTGAAAGCTTCTTAAATATAAGGATACAAGAATTAGAACACTGCCAGTGTTTAAAAATATAAATCTAAACAGGATTATCAATGTTCTATACAGGGTATTACCGACTGTACTTTAATTCATAAAAACCAGATATTTTCCAGGAGTCAATGAAGTATTTTATTAACTTCTATAGTTAATATGAGCTTTCATTATTTATTTAACTAGTTGGTAAACATAATGATAGTAGCTAATATGTTTTGAACACTTACTACATCTAAAAATCCCAATATCTGAAGTCTGTGTGGGCCTGTTCATTTGTTGTTCCTACTTGGCTTTCGCACACAGTGACTTTGTTTACTTGATTGTGTATACTTGAAAATAATTAGCAGCCTAGAATTAATTTCTATAGATAGAAATTGCACTTATTTCTGCCAGGTGCTTGAGAGCTCCACCAATCTGGAACCACCTTAAACAAAGTTGAGAACTTGAGGTTTCTGGACCAACTAGACTACTCTGTGCCTGGATTTCAAGGTCATTTGAAACCTGGTTTACTTCTGATTCAGCTTCACCTGAGGGATCTCAGCTTATTTTTATATAGGTTTCCTAATACTCCCCCTTTTTATGTGAATACTGGGCTTTGATTTCTGTCCCACTAGCCCACGAGTCCTTCAAAATGAAAATTCAGATTTGGTAGGATCTGCAAATGGCAGAAGACCATCATTATTAGACACTGAAAGGAGTTAGTTATTATGTTCCAGCTACTGTGCTAGTCATTTTTGTGTGTTTTGTCGTTGAATCACAACTACCATATGAAAGTAGGTCCAATGAATGCCCATTATATAAAGGAGGACACTTGAAGACAGAGATTAAATAACTTGTGCAAAATCACAGTTAGTGGCTGTGGTAATGTGTAATCTCAGATACAACTCCTGAATCCTCCTCCTCTGCTGTGTTGTCGTTCTTGTTTTTAACCCATCTTCTATTTGTTTTATATTGACATTTTAAAAAGTTTAGTTTTAGCATTCTTTATGTGTTAAAATACTGTTTTAAAACATTTCTGATACACTTATACACTTCTGATATTAAGTGACGATTATAGTATACTTCTGACTTAAAATGAAACCATCCTTATTTTTTTCCAGGTAAAATATGTAACTGAATTTTAAAAAATGAAGGATTTCAAGTCAACTTTATGAAAACTATTATTCATATGTTTGTTTTTTTTAGTATATTTTTATTGATTTCAGAGAGGAAAGGAGAGGGACAGAGAGAGAGAAACATTAATGATGAAAGAGAATCATTGATTGGCTGTCTCCTGCAACTCCCCACACTGGGGATGGAGCCCGCAACCTGGGCATATGTGCCCTGATCTGGAGTCAAACCGTGACCTCCGGGTTCATAGGTCGACTCTCAACCACTGAGCCATGCTGACCTGGCTGCATATGTTTTTCTCATTTTAGTATTGAGTTGATTATTGAAGCAATGATGAACTTCATTAACTTTATTCCTCTGAACTTTATTCATTTTACTAGGGAATATAGAAGTTTTTAAAATACTATATTTTTGTGAAGAAACCATGTTAGTTTATTTTATAATAGGTTTTATGGTCTCTCACCCCCATTCTTTTTTTCTCTTTCAGTCTTCCTTTTACAGTCTTTTATATTGTTAGAAAATGTGTATATTCATTTAGTATTATGTAAAATCATATAACTTTTAGATCTTTAATGAGCAGAGTTGAAATGATTATAGTAAAAAAAGAATTTTTAAATAAAAATATTAATCTGGTCTTTTAAAACAATAATAAGTTGATACTTAAAGGAGTTTAAAAGTTGTGTGATAAAACTGAACCTTTCACATACTTTAATGGAGATTTTTATCAGTTTTAAGTTTTATTTAAAAAAATTAATTCTTTTTTATTATAGGGAGGTGCTGTAGCAGGAAATGTGGCTCATATTCTGGACTCAAATCATGGAAAGGTTAGTTTGTCCTAGTAAAGGAAATGTTGTACTTGTTAAATAATATATTTGATAAAAGAACAATTCTTCTTCCTAGGCTTAGGGGTCACATCATATTCAATAAAGTCATACTTTTAGTCACTTTGAATGCAGGTAGCTTTGAAGAAAATTGGTGAACACCTTTCTTTTCTCTTGTGTAGAAGGCATTACTGTACACTGCAGTAAATCAGTTGGCTATGGGAAGCAGTTCAGCAGAAGATGAAAAAAATATTGCACTAAAGACCATTCAGAAGGCAACTCTCCTTTCTCCAGGTGAATATAATACAGCCCACTTCATTAATTAGAATTCTGTTCATCTTTCACTTGTGATTTATAGGAGCAAAGTTTGTATTTTTATGAAATAAGACAAGGAAATTTTAAGAAAATATTTGAATATTTTGCATATAAATATTTGATTATCTACATTTGGCTAGTGGTAATTAAGAGGTAATCAATTATTGAAGCAGGCTCAAGAGAATGTTTGCTTGAAGGTAGTTTATTATCTGTTATTGAAAATCTGAATTACATATTTTCAAGTAGTTTTTATTTCCTATCAGGCTTTAATAAGGTTTATCTATAGTAATAAATTACTTAATAAACATATTTAGTAATTTTTATGTGTAGTTACCTCCTTGAAGATTGGAAATATGTCTTCTGTGGTTTGAAATGCCAAAGTGCTAGCCTCACCCAAGCTAGCTCTTAGTTCTAACCAGCTGTGTCATGTATACCCCATCTATCACAAAAGGCACTAAGGAACTGCATGTGAACTGCATCAGCATTCTTCCACTGCCGCTAGAGGACTAGAATGTGCAGTAGTGTAGGGTTATGAGACATATTTTTATATATTATTTTTAATATGAAATGCAGCATTAAACAATTTATTTCCTTAGAGCACTTCAAACAGTTATTAGATCAGAATGCTATTGCTTTTGGCTAGGTACTGATGGGAAACAAGTATACAAAGAACAGGTTCAGTGTTATCTTCACAATACATTGTGAAGATTCTAACTAAACTGCAAATATTAAATATTTCAGAGAATTTTTATAAAATAACCAGACCAATATCTTATTGTTTATTTTGTCTTTTGTTTTTGAAATAATCAGAATGAAAAGAGACCCTAAACTTTTGAGTTTATTTATATTACACATTGGGTATGTTTCTGATTTTTGGAAGTGTTATCAAGCAAGTGTTAGATAGAATTACTCTCAATAATTCTTACTGTGGATCCGCAGTTACAGAAGATCTCTTAGCCTTTGATTGTGTTAAGTGGCATAAACTTTAGAAAGGTAAGATTGCCCAAATAAGGTCCTCTCTAATGATGTTTTCTGATTTTCCTATATTATCTAGAGAAATATGTATCCAAGGAAGCAGAGTCATCATATAAGGTGCTTAAAATAGGGACTGAATAATAAAGATGAGTACCTGTTTGAGATATGTCCTTGGAGTCCAATGATAGTGAATATAATTGTAATTATATATAGTAATGCTACACCTTCTTGTAGATCTTTAGGTGAAATAAATACAAGGGATCTTTTCAGAACTTTAAATATAATCTCAAGAATTTAGAATTAAATGGGAGGAAATCCAGTTTCTGCTAGATTACTGTGATATTAGGTATTTTTTAGCAAATTATATTTAAAAATTTTTAGGCATATATATAGATATATATATATATATTATATTTAAAGTATTTATATTATTACTTTGTTTCCAAGGGAATTTGAGTTGCCGATTATCTATGAAAGAGTTAATGAAAACAGCAATTCTTTTGAATTAAGATAGAAGAAATACTAGCAACTAATGTCTGTTTGCGCCACCAAAATCTAAATACTAGAAAGCCCTAAAGGAAACTATTTTTCAGTATCTTAGTAAGTCAATATTCAGAAATTGAGTCCATATCAGTTGGTAGTACTGTAAACCTGATAGCATGTTCAGTTGCCTTGTTTTATAGAAAAATGAGTCTGAAAGGAAAAGCTGCCACATAGTTAAGTGTCAATGTTAGACCTAAACCCAAAGCTAATACTAAGCCACATTATAAATTCTAGGGAATGGTCCCCATTTCCTTATTCTGGAATTTGAATATGTCTTATGTTATTTAAAATAAGGTAGTTATTATCTGGGACAGAAATTATTTTGTAATATGGAGATATGTAATTTTTTTGCAAAAGTTTTTCATCTGTATAAGATTCCTAATGTTTCTTGTACTATTAGCAGTAATACTAATAATCTATAAATGAAATAGATATAGATTTCAGACATTTGATAGGAAACATGCTAAATGGGGCAGTTAGATATGAAAAAATATAAAACTAAAGCTAAAAATGTATGCTTAAATGACTATTGTTAACTAGCACCCCCTTGTGGAAAATTTAAATTATTTATTTGCTTTTCAAGAGTAGCAAGACTAAAATATTAACCACTGAATTGAACTGCAAAATGTTCTTTATAAAATAAAAAATTATACAAATTTTAAAAACCTAAGTTCCTAGCTTCTTTTTTCACAACTACTTTTGTTATAAAGAGGAGTTTATACTCATAATCTCTTTCTAGGTATTATTACCTCCTTAACCTGCTTTATCAGTCTTTCCCCTAATGCCATGAAGCTTCTATCAAGGTGTGGAGGAAGAAAGGAAAGATCAAATGAATGAAAAGATATATAATACTATAATTGCTTTCCTTGGAATGTTAAAGTGACTTTCATGCTTGGCTGTTAGAACATAGGTAAAATATAGTTGTCTTGAGCTTTTGTTTTGGCTCAAACTTTTCTTAAGAACTGAGAAATTGTTACCTTGCTTTACCTATGACTGAGCCTTTAAAATGGACTGATTGATGAAATTGCATGCTTGTATGAGACTTGTTCAATGAAAGGGAATATAATTGACCTTTCCACAGTAACATAGCAGTCTAGGCAACTGAACTAGCCTTGGAAGAAAAGCTTAATAGGACATTTCTCATCCTCTGATATGTTTGCTAACAATGGCAAATGTTGAAGGATGAATATAGGAATGCATCTTCTGAAAACAAGTATAATTTAATTTTCTTTTAAGAAAATGGAATTTTTGTAGATAAAAATAATTTTTGTGTGTGTTTGTAAACTATCTTTTGGTATTTTTTTTAGTAACATGTTAATATTAACAAGGCCTCTTAACTCTATTTCCTATGTTTAGGTGATCCTGCTATCTGGGCTGGGCTAATGGCAGCTTGTTATGCTGATGATAAACTGGCTCTAGTGAACAACACTCAGCCAAAAAGGATGGACTTGTATTTGGCACTGTTATCTGCTGTTTCTGCTTCAAGTAAGTTTAAAACAGCATTTTGTAATGATAAATTCAGTATAAAGTACTCAGAAGAATATCACCAATAGGTAGTGGGAACAATTATCTCTACACTAAAGGCTGTTATGATCTTATCTAACAAAGTTTAAAATAAGCCTTGAAAAGATTAAATCATTTTTAAGAAGCAGAATTGCTTACAGGACAAAACTTAAGAACATTATAGTAATACAAAAATATCTAGCATTCAACAAGGTAAAATTCGCATAGGTGTGTATCCAGTTAAAATTTAATAGGTGTGCAAAGAAGCAGAAAAATACCACCCAGAATAAGGGGGAAAATCCATCAGTAGAAACATATATACAAATGACACATGATAAAAATCTCTTTAGAATGTAATGGATTATTTAAAGCATGTATAGTAACAATACCACAAAGGGCAAGAGAGGAAAATAGAAGTATTTTGTTGTAAAATTTTGGTACTATCAGTAAAGTAGTGTAATATTTTTTAAAGGTAAATTGTAACTGGTGAAAGATGAATACTCTAAACCTTAAAATAGACACTAAAAAAATAGAGTTATAGCTAATAAACCACCAACGCAGATAAGCTGGAATAATAAAAAATCATCCAAAAGAAGAGGAAAAGGGAACAAAGAATAGATTAACCAAATATAAAGCTCAGCACACGAAATCACGTGACCCTGCCTACCCGCACTCGTCTCCTAGTGAGTCTGGTAGTGGTTGTTCTGCGTTACGGCGTGACGACCACAGGCCTTTTATGATATAGATAATAACACATTAGAGTTAAACACAGCCATCTTACTAATCAAATTCAATATAAATGGCCTAAATACCCCACTGAAAAGGCAGAGATTGTCAAATTGTATAAAAAAGCAGGAGCCAACTACTGCCAAAAAGAAACATATAGACAAAATATAAATCTGTATTTATTTATTTATTTATTTTTTTTTTAATTAAATCTTTATTGTTCAGATTATTACATTTGTTCCTCTTTTTTTTCCCCCCATAACTCCCCTCCTCCTAGTTCCCGCCCCACCCTCCGCCCTCACTCCCCACCCACTGTCCTCATCCATAGGTGCACGATTTTTGTCCAGTCTCTTCCCGCATCTCCCACACCCCTTTCCCCCCCAAGAATAGTCAGTCCATTCCCTTTCTATGTCCCTGATTCTATCTATTATAATCACCAGTTCATTCTGTTCATCGGATTATTTATTCACTTGATTCTTAGATTCACTTGTTGATAGATGCATATTTGTTGTTCATAATTTGTATCTTTACCTTTTTCTTCCTCTTCCTCTTCTTAAAGGATACCTTTCAGCATTTCATATAATCCTGGTTTGGTGGTGATGAACTCCTTTAGCTTTTCTTTATCTGTGAAGCTCTTTATCTGACCTTCAATTCTGAATGATAGCTTTGCTGGGTAAAGTAATCTTGGTTGTAGGTTCTTGGTATTTATCACTTTGAATATTTCTTGCCACTCCCTTCTGGCCTGCAAAGTTTCTGTTGCAAAATCAGGTGACAGTCGTATGGGTATTCCCTTGTAGGTAACTGAGTTTCTTTCTCTTGCTGTTTTTAAGATTCTCTCTTTATCTTTTGCTCTTGGCATTTTAATGATGATGTGTCTTGGTGTGGTCCTCTTTGGATTCCTTTTGTTTGGGGTTCTCCGCGCTTCTTGGACCGGTAAGTCCATTTCTTTCACCAGGTGGGGGAAGTTTTCTGTCATTATTTCTTCAAATAGGTTTTCAATATCTTGCTCTCTCTCATCTTCTGGCACCCCTATAATTCTGATGTTGGTACGCTTGAAGCTGTCCCAGAGGCTCCTTACACTATCCTCGCATTTTTGGATTCTTTTTTCATTTTGCTTTTCCGGTTGGGTGTTTTTTGCTTCCTCACATTTCAAATCATTGACTTGATTCTTGCGCTCCTCTGGTCTGCTGTCGGGAGTCTGTATAATATTCGTTATTTCAGTCCGTGTATGCTTAATTTCTAGTTGGTTCCCCAATACAACATCGAGGGTCTTATTAGTTTTCTTGTAGATCTCATTAAGTTTATCGGCGGCTTCTAAACAGTTCTTGAGAGAACCTTAAAAGTGTGGTTCTGAACTCTATATCTTCCATTGACAATTTTGTCCTGTTTCTTTGTCTCTGCATTTTGTTATGCTTCCTTGGTGTACCCCCTAGTGGTCTTTGTTCGAAGTCTTATAGTTAAACCTTGATTGTTGTAGCTAATACCAGGGAGGGTTTGACCTCCAGGCCAAGTGGCTATGAGAATCAGCTGTGTCAGCAGTGAGAGAACTTCTGTCCTCTAGGGAGGTGCTAATCTAGCCTTTGCCTGAGGCTATCCGGCAAATGCCTCTGTGCAGGGCTTGGGCGGGGCGGGTCGCACAGGATCAACAGGGTGGGCCGGAGAGAGCAGTTATGGCGGCTCTCAGTCCTGTCCCCAGGGGCTCTGCCTCTCTGAGTCCCAGCACCCACTGCAAAGCTCGGAGAGAAAGCTGCACTCGCTCTGACCGAAGCCAGACAGTCCCGCTTCTCCCGTTTGAGTCTGGGTCCCTAAAGACTCGCCCGGATCTGGAGCTCAGAGTCTGTGACTCCCTCCCGATTGAAAACGCCAACCGCGCCCTCCGCCGCCAGCCCGCTCCATGCACTCCGCACCTCAGAACTTGACTTCAGCACTGCGCCTCCTCTGAGTGTCCGTATGCGTTTCTCTTTCCTCCTAGTCGTAGGACTTCCCCTCAGCCAGCGTTCCTGTGGTTCTGGGTGATGTCCGTTCCGTCTTTTAGTTTCACTTTTGAAGTAGTTGTTCAAAGCAGCAAACTCCGGCATTAACCTATGCCGCCATCTTGGTTCTCCCTCAAATCTGTATTTAATATAAAGGTAAAAAGAGCCTAAAAAGTAAAAAGATGGAAAAAGATACATGCACCATTCCAACACTAATCAAAAGAAAGTTGGAGTGGCCATGTTAATTTTGGACAAATTAGAATTCAGTGCAAAGAATATTTCAGTGATAACGAGGGTCATTTCACAATGGAATCAGTTCATCAAGAGGACATAACATGATAGGTCTAATCTCCTTTCATTGCACTTTGTTTTATAGCACTTGCAGATACTGTGTTCTTTTCAAATGGAAGGTTCGAAGCAACCCTGTGTTGAGCAAGTCTTTCTGCACCATTTTTCCAACAGCATTTGCTCACTTCATGTCTCTGTCACATTTTGGTAATTCTCACAACATTTCAAACTTTTTCATTATAACAATATGTGTTGGTGATCTGTGATACTGTAATTGTTTTGTGGCACCGCCAACCACACCCATATAAAATGACAAACTTAATAAATGTTGTATGTGTTCTGACTGCTCCACTGGCCCTCCATTTCCCCATCTCTCTCCTCCTTGGACCTCCCTATTTCCTGAAATAAATATTGAAATTAGACTATTAGTAACCCTACAATGGCCTCTAAGTGTTAAGTGAAAGGAAGAGTCAATCAATATGACAGACTTTATTATTGTCTTATTTTAAAAAATTGTCACAGCCACCCTAATCTTTAGCAACCACCATTCTGATCTGTCAGTAGTCATCAATATTGAGGCAAGAGCTCTACCAGCAAAAAGATTACAACTCACTGAAGGCTCAGAAGCTGATTAGCAGTTTTAGAAAAAGGTATTTTTTAATTAATGTATGTACATTTTTTTTAGACATAATGCTATTGCACACTTAATAGACTACACTATAGTATATACATAACTTTTATATTCATTGGGAAACCAGAAAATTTATGTGACTCACTTTATTGCAGTAGTTTGTAAATGAACCCGCAATATCTCTGAGAATGCCTGTAGTAAACATTTAGGCACTGATTAACAGAACTTTAAAAGACATAAAATATGGGAGCAACTAAGATGGCGGCATAGGTAAACACCGGGAAATTATTGCCTCACACAACAATTGAAAATTACCCCAAAGGACTGAGCAAACATCATCCAGAACAACAGGAAGGCTGGCTGAGTGTAAATTCCACAACTAGAAGGAAAGAAAAGCACGCTGAGAGCCAGAGGTGCGGAGGTGAAGTGCAGAGGTACGGCGGCGCGCGCGCGCGAGGAAAGGGGGTGGCGCCTGAGGACGCGGCTGTCTTTTTGAATCACAAACTCCCGACGGCTCTGAACTCCGGTTCCGGGAAGTCTCTGGGGACCCAGGTCTCACACGGGGAGAAGCTGGTCTGTCCGGCAGCGAGCGAACTTGAGGGCGGCTTTCCCTCAGAGGTGCTTGCAGCCGTTACCGGAACACTGAGACGCGCGACGGGCGGAGAATCGGCCATGGCCGCTTTCTCCGCCCTCTGACTCCCTGAGACCCCGCCCCACCCAGGCTGCGGCAGAGGCTTTTGCATGTGAATGTACCTAACTGCAGCCGAACCAGGCAGACCTGGAACTTCCAAGAGAAGGCCCAAGGCCCCGCAGCGGCTTGCATTGCTTCACAGCTGAGCCTCTTCATGGCTCCTGCTGTGTGGCCTCAGGCAGAGGCTGAATTAGCACCTCCTTAGATCCAGGAGCCACTGTACCCAGTGGTCAGAGGGGGTCCATCCAGACTGCAACTCCTCAGATCCATAAGGGGCGCACTCAGGGAGCAGACTCAGTGAGCACCAAAGCCCCACTGAAACAAGTCTTGCCCCAGAAGGGTGTCTTCAGCACAGAAGTTCTCCCACTTTAGACACAGCTGATTCTCACAGCCAATTGGCCTGGAGGTCAATTCCTCCCAGTGAGTCTACAACAACCAAGGCACCAAGAGTGCACCAAGAGTGTCCACCCCAGGTAACTGGGGAGGCTGAGCTACTGGGCCCTACAGGACACCTGGCGCACAGGGCCACTCTATCAACACAGGGAAGCTGCCAAAATGCGGAGACAAAGAAACAGGTCACAAATGGCAGAAATGGAGGAAAGCAAACGATTGGATATAGAGTTTAAGGCCACGGTTATAAGGTTTTTCAAGAATTTTATGGAAACCGCCGATAAATTTAATGAATCCCTCAATAAGTATAGGGAGACCATGGAGGACATGAAAAAGGACCAACTAGAAATTAAGCATACACTGACTGAAATAAAGAATAATTTACAGAGATCCAGCAGCAGAAAAGAGGATCCCAAGAATCAAGTCAAAGATTTGAAATACAAAGAAACAAAAAATACCCAACCGAAAAAGAAAAAAGAAAAGAGATTCCAAAAATATGAAGATAGTGTAAGGAACCTCTGGGACAACTTCAAGCGTACCAACATCAGAATTATAGGGGTACCAGAAGGAGAGAGAGGGCAAGATATTGAAAACCTTTTTGAAGAAATAATGACAGAAAACTTCCCCTACCTGGTGAAAGAAATGGACTTACAAGTCCAGGAAGCGCAGAGAACCCCAAACAAAAGGAATCCAAGGAGGACCACACCAAGACACATCATAATTAAAATGCCAAGAGCAAAAGATAAAGAGAGAATCTTAAAAGCAGCAAGAGAAAGACAGTCAGTTACCTACAAGGGAGTACCCATACGACTGTCAGCTGATTTCTCAACAGAAACCATGCAGGCCAGAAGAGACTGGCAAGAAATATTCAAAGTGATGAATAGCAAGAACCTGCAACCAAGATTACTTTATCCAGCAAAGCTATCATTCAGAATAGAAGGTCAGATAAAGAGCTTCACGGATAAGAAAAAGCTAAAGGAGTTCATCACCACCAAACCAGCATTATATGAAATGCTGAAAGGTATTCTTTAAGAAGAGGAAGAAGAAAAAGGAACTCTTGCCATTTGCCACAGCATGGATGGAACTTGAGAGCGGATAAATACCACAGGATCTCACTCATTTGTGGAATATAATGAACAACATAAGCTGATGAACAAGGACTGATCCAGAGACGGAGAGGCATTGATTGGACTGTCGGGACTTGGAGGGAAGGTAGGGGAGGGTGGGGGTAAGGGGGAAAGATCAACCAAAGGACTTATATGCAAGCATATAGGCCTAACCAATGGACATGGACAACGGGGGGGGTGAGGGCATGAGCGGAGGTGAGGGGGGTGGGGGGTAGAGGGTAACGTGGGGACAAGGACACATATGTAATATCTTAATCAATAAAAAATATATTAAAAAAAAAGAAAAAAAAAAGACATAAAATATGCATGGTATTTCATAGTAAAATAGTAAAAAAAAATTTTTTTGAAAAAAAATATGCATGGAGCAGAAACTTACAGGTAAACCAAAAGGAGAGATAGACAAATCCACAATTATAGTTAAAAGTTTCAACACTCTTGATAATTGGTAGAACAATTGGACAGAAAAATCAGTAAAGACATAATAAAGACTTGAACAAGACTGTCAACTAATTTTACTTAACTGATGTTTGTAGAACACTTCTAACCACAGTAGAATGCATATTGTTGTCAATTGTACAAAGAATATTTATCCAAATATATCGTATTATGGGCCAGGAAACAGATGTAAATAATTGAAAAGGATTCAGATCTTACAAAGTATATTATTTAATACAATGAAATTAAATTGGACATCAGTAACAAAACATATCTGGAAAATTACCAAATGGTAGGAAACTAACATACTTCTAAATAATCTAGGTCAAAGAATAAATCAGAAGGGAAATTAGAAAATGTTTTGAATTGAATGAAAATTTAAAAACAGTGTATCAAAATTCTACAATGCTACTAAAGCACTATTTTTAGGGGAATTTATAACATTACATGACTACATTGTATTCTAATCAGTGACCTCACATTTACCTTAAGAAACTAGAAAAAGGAAGAGAAAATTAATCCCAAAGTAAGCAGACAAAAAGAAATAATGAAGAGCAGAAATCAATGAAATAAAAACAGAAAATCAACAGAAGCGAAAATTAGGTCTTTGAGAAGATCAATATAATTGATAAACCTCTAGGCAGACATCAGGAAAAAAAAAAGATACTACCAATGTCAGGAATGAAAGGGTACATTACTATAGCCATTAAAAGGCTTTTGAACAACTTTATGCCATTAAATTTGGCAACTTAGATGAAATAGACAAATTCCCTAAAAGACACAAAGCTTACTTAAGAAGAGAGAAACTGTATAGCTTTATCCTATATAATAAAAGGCTAATATGCAAATTGTCCCCTTGACCAGGAGTTCGACCAGGGGTTGGGGCCAGCCAGGCAACCAACCGCCCGCGGTCCTTCCCCGTTGCCTGCCCTGCCCAATTGGCCCTGATGGGGTGGGCCAGCCAGACCCCACCTGTGCACGAATTCATGCACCAGGCCTCTAGTATCTGATAAAGACACTGAATTTATAGTTAAAAAATCCTCTCACAAAGAAAACTCCAGGACCACTAATGAATTCTACCAAACATTTAAGGAAGAAGTAATACCAGAAAGTTGAATGGTAACACTTTCTAACTTCTTCTGAGACAAAATTACCATGATAGCAAACCGGACAAAGACATTACATCATGATCAAGGGCAGTTTGTCTTAGGAATGCAGTGTTGCTTTGACATTTGAGAATGAATGTCATTTACTATGTTAACAATTGTGAAGGATGCTAGACCAGTGGTTCTCAACCTTCCTAATGCGGCGACTCTTTAATACAGTTCCTCATGTTGTGGTGACCCCCAATTTCATTGTTACAAATTGAACATAATTAAAGCATAGTGATTAATCACAAAAACAATATGTAATTATATATGTGTTTTCCGATGGTCTTAGGCGACCCTTGTGAAAGGGTGATTCGACCCCAAAAGGGGTTGCGACCCACAGGTTGAGAACCGCTGTGCTAGACAAAGAGTATATGCTTTTTTATTTTGTAAGAAATTTTAGAATATGCAAACTGATCTATTTTGACTGAAAATGATTAGTGGTTGTTTATGGACATAGGACAGAAGGAGACTTTTGATAATGATGAGTATATGTTCATTGTCTTGATTGTGTGATGGTTCACAGATGTTTACTTATGTCAAAACTGATCAAATTGTACAATTTGAATATGTGCATATGTGCAACTTATTGTATGGCAGTTATATTGCAGTCTTTAATTTTTTCAATGAATTATTTTTACTTTTACTATGGATGTAGTGATTAATATGTCACAAGTATGTGAGGTCTTAAGTTATCACAAATATTCCTACCATGAAACTTTTCAGAAACCTATTTCATGATATGGTATTCCAGTGGTTCATATAAGTTTAAAAAATTTACCTAAGTCTTATTGTGATCCTTATTAGCAACTATTTACTTCTCTGTGAACACATTATAAATTGCAGAAAAGGTAACACTGACATTTTTTGTTTATAGTTAAAGACAAAGAATTCTTTGAAAGTTACAACGAATCTCTGGAAAAGTGGTCTCTCTCCCAAGCTGTCACAGGCCTAGTAGACACAGGAAGAATATCAGAAGCTGAAGCCCTTTGCACAAAGGTATTGTTATGGAATTGACCATTGAGTTTTATAGATTCTTATCCTATTTGGAAAATAACTTTAGATAGAGTGCATGCTATTTAAAGAGCACACGGTAGTGTGGTGGTGGTGGTGGTAGTGGTGATGATGATGATTATCATGATGCTAGCCCCTAACATTTATTATTGATAGCACCCAACATTTATTGAGTATTTACCACAAGCCAGCCACTACATTTAGTAGTTTGTATTTGAATTTCACAATAATCCTATGGCAAAGGTATTTATAATTATCCCCATTTTTACAAATGGAAAAAATAGGGCTCAGAGAGGAATTTGCACAGAAGCTCACAGCTACAAATTGATGGAGTTGCCATTTGAACTCGCATTTGTTTGACTCTAGGATCCAAGCTCTTAATAGATTTTTTCCTTGGTACCTTTAGGGGGGCAATATTTTTATTTTATTTCTGCTTACTCTTTTCAGAGTGTAGTTTTTACATTCCTGAATAATAGGCTCTGTGAGTAAATTCTTAGCACCGTACCTAGCACATACTAAGGGCTCAATAAATAATTAGTGAATGAATAGATCAGTTTTATACATCTACTCAGAAATAATATAATGGGTTAGGAGAGTTTTAAGCATCACTTTTCCTGAAAATATTATGTTTCACAAATGTTTACCAGGGAGATTGTGTTGTCTTCCTAGAAATTTTTTTGAAAGAGCAATATAAATTTTTCAGAGAAAGAAGAATGGGTCTTTGAAGACCTCTTTGGCCCTTGAATTCTCTGAAAAGCAGAATAATAAATTTTCTCTTTTACTTAAGAAATTCCATCTCTGTTCAGTACAGGTTAGTATTTTATAGTGAGAGTTTAATAATCATAAATTGACAGTTGGCTATGCTCTGACAGAATAAGAAGTACTTTTATGAACCTTTCCTGTCATTTTGTTGTTCCAGTCTCTTACTTAGAAAAAAAAAGCAATCAAATACATTTTAGAAATAAATACATTTAAGACTATGACCTAATTAGTAAAAAAAAAAAAAAAAATAGAAAGAAACATGTTACTGAGAGACAAGCTATAAAGGAAGAAATATTTAAAACAACAGTGGAAGGATTTTGGTAGAGAACTTTCTTTAAGTTCTTCCATATGTATATATGGAAGGAGATACATATACATGTATACAACACACTTATGTATGTATGTACATGCTTGGTAAATTGGTAAATGGGTCATTTCTCTTACTCCCAATGTGTATGAAGTCTGTGCCTGATGGAAGGGCATGCAATGAATACCTAGAGGTTTAAGAAGATAAAAAATTATACCTCTTCCTTTTTTACATAGGATTGTTTTTTCCAGTAAGGTGTAGTGTTAGCCTTCACTGTTAATTTTATATATTCTTAGTTCTGTCATTTACATTCAGAACTTAAAGTTCTTAGGATATCACCTGAGAATAAACCAAGTGAAGGTAACATAAATCTATAATACATGACTTATAAATTACAATAATAGCATTATCAATTTTAAAGATTATTTATATGTAGAGTTTGATATTCCCGAGATGTTCAGTGTTTTATTTATTTTACTTTTTCAGTTATTTATAATTTTAATAAGAAAAAGGTCAAATTTAGATTCCCCCCCCCCCCCCACTATGGGGAATAGCTTAATTGCCTGTTACATTTAACATTTAACCTATTTTATGTATTTCTATCTGGGGTTTACATTTAGAATTTAAAAAGCAACCCTGATCAGCCAGCTGTTATCTTACTTTTGAGACAAGTGCAGTGTAAACCACTCCTGGAATCACAAAAGCCTCTCCCTGATGCTGTCCTTGAAGAGCTGCAAAAAACTGTTATGTCCAACTCAACCTCCGTTCCAGCATGGCAGGTACATCCTCTCCTTTCTTACAATGATCGCTGAATTAAAATACTCTGAATTAGCTGAGGTCAAGGATATGCTCCATTTTTATTTGTCTTGCCTTTGAACTCACCATAAATTTCTCATTTTCAAGACTTAAAGGGTGCTGTGATTAAAGGCACTAAGGAAATTGAATACTAATTTTGGATCTGTTACTATAAGACTTTAAAGCTTTCTTAATTGTTGATTATAAGTTTTCTTAATTTAAAATAATGCTGAAAATACTATCTTTTGAATGGGGTTGATGTAAGAGAGATAAAGAAGTATTACAAACATTTTCACAATGTTACTATAATGATGTTTAATTCTGCCTCGAGAGGGCATATGTATTTTTTCCTTAGCTACTTTACAATTCACCCATGTCCAAGATTTCAATGGTAGTTTAGTGCTTTTAGAAATAGTTATTTTCAGGAATGATGTCTGGATCAACAGATTGTCTGCCCTTTTAGCTGACTCTGGTTATGCACAATGACAAATACAAAATGATGAGTATGTGCTTTATTCTTAATGATTTTAAAATATAAAAAGCGCATAATTAGTTTATTCAATTGATTATATTTCCCTCTGCATCCCAGAGGAAGTTTCAAAAGGGCTTTTTTATGTCGATTTTTGCCGGAAGCCGGTCCATCCTTGCTGCTTGACACAGTCGCTGCAGGAAAGAAACATCTGCACAGCATATGTTTCAAGGGACCTGGCGTATATAGCATACTGTTCTTAATACGTTTGCTCCCCTTAGCGCTGTGTGTTTTAACCAAGGTCACCTCTCCAAGAAAGGTTGTTTCCCCAGGTAGGAATTTTTCCCTGAAATCAGGGAGGGGATGCCTCTCCTAGAAAGGTTGTTTCCCCAGGTAGGAATTTTTCCCTGAAGTCAGGGAGGGGATGAAACTCCTTAACTAAGTGCCAGGCGGGTAGTTAATCACTACAAACAATCATGCTTAAGCTACATAATCTTTACTCCCTGGAATGGAGATAAGAAACGCCCTAACCTTTGTAATAGAAATTGACAGGATTAAAATCAACTGGGATAAATACGGATGTAACAAGACAATAAACAGCAGAACTTCGCTGGAGATCCAGACCAGAACTTGGCTGGAGATCCTGGCTAGAGATCCTGGCTAGGCTGCTGATCAACTGAACACTGTCTCCGTGTCATTCCTTCTTCGCCGACTCCATCCACACCTTTGGGGACCCCTGGACCTGCTGGGGTTGGACTCCGGCAGATTTTATAGAAGTTTATTTTACTACAATAGTTTTATATTCCAATCTTTCATTATATGAACTTTTTCTTGTCCCTGCTTAAAAAGATTATCTAATGGTATTTTTCATGCTAGCTAAGTCTCCTCTTTAATCCTTGAAGAAAAATGGTGCTTCTTTTCTTCTCTTAGAGTAAGTTTGCCATGTGAGAGTTAAGATACTTTAATTAAGGTCAACTGGATATTGATGACCTCACCCATATTCTTTCTCAAAGGTAAAAATACCTTGTCAAATAAAGAGATAGTGTGTGTTATCATATAATTCACAAAGAACGAAGTGAAAACAATATTTAAGATACCACTCATTACATTTTTACATATGTATACCTTTTTTGTTGTTGTGTTCCTCACTGGAGGATATTTTTCCATTGATTTTTAGAGAGGGTGGAAGGGAGGGAGGAAAAGAGAGAAACTTCTATGTCAGAGAGAAACATTGATTAGTTGCCTCCCACATGGCCCTGGGGGATTGAGCCTGCAACGCCCTTGACTGGAATCAAACCTAAGACTCTTCAGTCGGTGGGCTGACACTCTGTTCACTGAGCCAAACTGGCTTGGGCTGTCCTACCTATCTCAAGATACAGGGCATTTCCATCAACCTGCCTGCCTCTCCCATGCCTCACCTTTGGTTTCCCCCATTTCAAAGCAAGAGGAGGGCCTACTATTCTAGCACTTTTATCTAGTTTTGTCTGTTTTTGAATTTCATATAAATGGAACATTCTTTTGTATATGGTTACTTTCATTCAACATCATATTTAGGAGATTAGTTGTTCATGTGGCTATAGGTTTTTTTATTTCATTTTATAAATATACTATAATATATATTCCTTGTACTGTTGACATTTGGATTATTTGCAACTTTTGGCTATTCTGATTAATACTGGCTGTGTCCATCCTTGGATGCATCTTTTGTTGAGTCATAGGGTATATGTTCCTTTTACATATTGCTGGGGTCAATTTGTTAATACATTTGTTTAGAATTTTTGTACTTCTATTCATGAGAGTGTTTGCCTTATAATTTTTCATTCTCTTAAAATTCTTGCAAATATGTATTCTGCAGTTATTGAGTATAGTCTTATGAATATTTCATTTAATCAAGCTGGTTCATTATATTTAAACTAGAGGCCCGCTACATGGATTTGTGCACCGGTGGGGTCCCTCAGCCTGGCCTGTGGGGATCAGGCCGAAACTGGCTCTCTGACAATCCCCCTAGGGGTCCCGGATTGCGAGAGGGTGCAGGCCAGGTCAAGGGACCCCACTGGTGCACAATCGGGGCCTGGGAGGGACCCGTCTTGCCCAGTCCTGATCAGGGCCAATCTGGGCCAGCTGGCCAGGTAGGGACTGCAGGAGGTTGGCTGGCTGGGGAGGGACCGTGGGAGGGCTCCAGGGCATGTCAAGCCAGTCTCACCCAGTCCCGATTGGCTGGACCCCAGCAGCAACCTAACCTACTGGTTGGAGTATCTGCCCCCTGGTGGTCAGAGCGCGTCATAGTGACTGGTCGAAGGATCTAACAGTTGGACACTTAGCATATTAGGCTTTTATTATGTAAGATATTCTATACCCTTACTAATTTTTGTCTTTTTAAAAAAATCATTGTTGGGATAGGTGTGTTCAAATCTCCAACTGTGATTAAGGATTTGTCTATTTTTCCTTTTATTTCTGTCAATTTTTGTTTCATAAATTCTATGTTATTAGGTGTATACAAATATAGGAGTGTTATTTCTTCCTGTTGAATGCTATTCCCTCTCTTAACCTGGGATTTTTGGTTTTTGGGCACAAAACTTACCAATAATTTTAAAAAAGTAACTTCATCAAAGTTTATTGAATCTGTTGAAAGTAGAATATCACTTTGTGTACTAAACTAAAACCCTTTGGGTGCTCCTTTTTTCTGTTTCTCAGTGGTTGGCGCACATATATCAGTCTCAAGGAATGATGAGTGCTGCAGAGATGTGTTATAGGAAGAGTCTACAAGTTGCATCCCAGCAGGGCAGTTGGAATGGGAAGCTGTCGAGTCTGTTGAGGCTAGCACTGCTTGCATTAGAAGTCTGCATGGTAAGGCCTTATTATAATTGTGATCATGAAAATTGATTCTTTTATTTTCTTTCAGGTGAAAGCTTTTTCTATAGTGATATCCTAGTGAGTTCCTGTTGTTTCATTGCCTTCTAGTGTGGTCTCCTGATAAATTTTGTATTTGGGCTCTTGGTGTCCATAAGAGTAACATAAACCCATAGACTCTAGCCAAACCTTCTCAGTGTTTGGAGAAAAAAAACAAAGATTCCAATTTTAAGTTGGATTATGGTAGAATATACATTTTTGTTTCTTGGTGATTTAAGTTAGAATTAACCCAGTTACTCATATGTGGCAAAGATGCCAATAATTAACATTTTCACTCATTTCTCGGTTTAATTTGACATTCTGTAAAAGGGATATCTGGTAATTTTTGACTTGACATCCTACTTAAGGCTTATTAATCTAAAAGTATTATATGCTAACGTGGAAAACTCTTCAAGATAAGTGTTTACGTTGATGTGTGGGGATGCAAAACTGCAAAACAAGGTGTCTGGTATTTTATTTGGGTGTGGTATATATTTTTAAGAGTACATATCTCTGCATTTTGTGTATGTATGTACATATTTTTATATAAAAGATATAAAAGATACTTTGGATGATATAGCACTGGGGGGTCTTTAAGGAATGGTAGAGGATTTATTTTTTCTTTTATTTCCTTTGATAGTGTTTGAATTTTTTCTTATATGCATGTTACTTCTGTAATTAAAAGGTAAACTGTCATTTTTTTTGTTTTAAAAGATTAGAAGAAATTGTCGTAGAAAGGCCTGAATTCACTCATACTTTCACAATAGTAATCCACTGTCAATATTGTTTACCTATTTTAACCAGACACTTGGCAAAGAAATATAAGAATTAGGACATTTTTAGCTTTGGTGCTATAGAGCAGATTTGGGGGTTCCTTAGGTCAGGGGACATGTTTTGGTCATCTTTGCATCCTTGCTTTATCACTCTGCCTTGTACCTAAAAGCTCTTCAATAAATGGTTTTTGAATAAATGCACAAGTAATAATGGTAGTCAATTTGAGGTGATTTGGGTGGAAAGAAATCATGGTTAATGGTAATTGCATACCACTAAATGTTTTGTTTTGTTTGTCCCACATTTATATTTAACAAAGGTCTTTGTGACGTCGGTAGCTGGTGAGCTGTGGAAGCCACACAGAGCACCTATAAATACTCTTAAATATGTGAACTGGAGAAGCACATATTCTTTTAGTCTAACATTATTTTTAGTTAACAAATTATTTAGTGTTGTGCTTGTTTTATTTGTTCTGAATGCTTGGAAATTAAATCTGACCTGGAATAAAACAATAATAACAAACATATCTAACACTTAGCTTGTGCTAGACACTGTTATAGTGTGTTATAGTGCTTCACACATATTAACTAACTTAATATGCACAATAACCCTATTTTACAGATGAGGAAATTAGCTTGCAGTTTGTAATAACCTTATATACCTGCCCTAACCCCCAACTACCACCACAAAAGTGCTTTTTCTAAAAACCTGGCTCCTGGTTTTCACTACCTGCGAAACATTCAGCCAATTAAGCTGTTTAGAGTCTGCCCCCTTCACTTTTTTCTTTTTGTAATAGTGGAGATAATAACTGCTTTGCTTTCTTATAGAGTTGTTATGAACATCAAATAACATAACATTTACAAATGTATTTGTGAACCTTAAGGCACTATCTAAATCAAGCACACCACTAAATAATTTTTATTAATTTACAAAAAATAAGTGAGACTAAAAGAGTGTAAGTTATACCAGTAAGATTAGACACCCAACAATTATTATAAGGAGATGCCATATTTCTATGGTGGCTAGATGCAGTGTGCAGAAGAGGGGTATATTAAAATCAGACTGTTTTATAAGCGCCTACTGTATGTGTGGTAATATATGAATAGGATATTAAACTGAAAGATGTAGACTAGAAGATTGCAGCTGGAGAAGGATTGTGAAGACATTTCCTTAGAGTCCTGATGCCTTCACCATCTTCTCTATGGCACATTTCCACACAGAAATGCCCACCAAGACGAGGAAGGAAGGGTTTTCAGAGAGAGGGAGGCCTTGGTGTGTTACCTTTGAGGTCCTGGAGGCACATGTCTAAAAGCACATGGACAGGTATCTGACGCCTTCCTCAGAAGCCATGGCTCTCCATCTGCTGTGGTAGCACAGAGAAAAAGAGTTGCTCGTGTTTTGGGAAGTGACTGCATGCTTCTGGGAGAGAGTGAACGGCAGTGAGTGAATCCCAGAGGTGGGAAGGAGCATATGTTCAGGTACAGGATGGAGGCAGTGAAGGAGCAGCATGGGACCAGCTGTGCTCCTGGCGTTTCTCAGAGCCAGGAATGAGTGATGCCAAGGATGAGAGTAGAGTGGAGTTCTCTTCGATCCTGTCCAGTAGGGCCACCTGGAGGAGTGATGAGATCTCAGGAGAAAGGAAGCTAGAGGTTTCCAGATTGTAAAGATGTGAAAAGATTAAGTGGAATAACGTACATTCACCCAAGACAGAGGAACTTCAGATTAGCAGGACTGTTTCGTGGGTGTGTGTCCTGTGCAGTTGCACAGGGCTCCACACTTGGTTTAATTTTAATGTTCCACAGTTGCCTTCTTGAAAATCTTAATCATTTCTTAACAAAAGGCCCTGCTTTTTTATTTTGCACTGGGCCCCGGAGGTTACATAACTGTCCTGCAGGTAAGAAACTACTCATGAAGTTGGGAATCTCTGATAAAGCCAAGAAAGTCTGGATGAGAAAAGGCTTTAATTATTTGTGAGGCCTAGAGAGCTAAACATCTTACAATGGCACCAGTCAAATGCAGACTTCTGGTATTTTAGTATATGGGCCTGAAACCACAATTAGCAAGAAAAGGTGGGACCTTTGGGAAGACGAACAAGCAATCTACTGCTGCCTGTAACCATATCCTAGCTGGGTGCTGAGGAAATGGGAGTGGGGTGCAAATATTACCTTTACTAGTAAATGAAGATTGAAGTATTGAAATGAAGAGGACATTCTAATTATGACTGTGTTTATAAATCAATGTAAGAAAAACGGTTGTAGGAGTTATGGGACCTACTGAAATTTATATCTAGGAACAGAGGAAAAGTCTTCCTTATATAATAAATTCTAAAGACTTAATGGGAGACAAGAATAAATGCATTCTAATCACATTGTTTAGCATACCAGTTACCTTATATAATAATCTTTGGGCTAACTTTACAGAATACTTTATATGTGGTCTTAGAATGTATAGGGTGTATTATAAAAGTAGCCAGTGAATTTGTGTTTTTTGTTTAAAAAAATATATTCAGAAAAATTACATTAGTATGGTTTTGACATTTTTTTTTGCCAGGTGTGCCCAAAGTCTCATTGCTCCTGCCTTTATAGATTATGCCTCACAACCTCTGTTCTTTATTTTCAAATTCATTATCTTTATAGCTTCCTCTTTCTTAATTGCACAGATTACTATTGCCTGAAGTACCTTCAAAGTTTATTGCTCTTTTTCTTTTATCATTTAGTTTTTTTAAAGGATTATGCATTGACTCATTATTTTAACTTTATTAAAATGTGTATTCTAGCTACCTGTAATTATGAAATCATGGTTACAATTTGAGTTTTTTAATGAAAGTTTTTAAATGCATTTTTCTTCCTGCATAATTCAGTAGTGTGTTCAAGTATTTCATTTCAGCCTTTCCTCTCGCCTTAGATAATTTTTGAAATGTGGAACTTTATATTTATCACTTGTTAAATTTAGCTTTGTATATTTGTTGACCATAGACTTAGTAAGTGATAGATTTTATTCACCTATATAATAGAATAGTGCATTTTCTTTTAACAAATATTTTAGCATTTTTAAGTGATATCTCCTGGTTGAAACTTTCCTTTATTCCACTCTACTCTGTTATGTGGCTCCTTTAAGGGCAGGATCAGATCTCAATCATTTTGTAGAATTATGCTCCCTATAGCATTTACATGGCAACTTGGACAAATAGGCATTCAATAAGTGAGAGTTGAGTTGCATTCGTTTAAGGTAAACATGTCAGAAGCTTTGATTTGATATTTGTCTTTTATTTTTACAGGCCAACATTTCAAATGATCACTGGCCATCCTTGGTTCAGGAAGCTACAACTGAGGCCTTAAAGCTTTGCTTTTGTCCACTGGCTATCCTTTTACAAGCTTTGTTACAGTTCAACCGCAAAATGGGGGCAAGGTGTGGAGAATCTTTAACTTTTTTCCCTTGGAAATATTTCTTTACTTTTAATCCTGCTGGGAAGCAAAGATTTAGAATGAGTTTAACAACTTTGTCATACTCATATATTTGCATCTACTTTAGAAAGGCTATTTCTAGTAACCCAATAAGGAAGAAAATAAAGCTTTACATTTGTTTTTTTAAAAATAGCGTGGTACACAAATACAGAATATGAAATTTGGCATGACAGTATTTTCAAGTGAAGAAGGCCTGGGAATTTGCTCTTTACTGTCTTAGGTTGAGCCAGTTGTGTAATGTGGATGCTAAAAACAAACAAAACTGAAAAGACCCAAGTTCAAGGCTGATTGAGATAAGTCCTTGTAAGGCAATACACTATGAAAAAGGTAATACATATTGAAAAGGCAGAGACATAAATAATGTGAGTTTTATATCTAGAAAATTTAAAAGTTTCTCAGATTTAAAAAAAATTAGCACTCTTTTTATTGGAGGGTGGGGATGGGGTCAGAAATAAATTTTTAAAAAGTTACTTAGTCCAGCCAGTGTGGCTCAGTGGTTGAGTGTCAACCCATGAACCAAGAGGTCCCTGGTTCGATTCCTTGTCAAGGCACAAGCCCAGGTTGCGGGCTCATTTCCCAGTAGGAGGTATGCAGGAGGCAGCCGATTGATTTTTCTCTCATCAACATTTTCATCTCTCTATCCCTCTCCCTTCCTCTTTTTCTAAAAAAATAGATAAAAACATATTTTTTAAAAAAGAAAAGGTAACATTAAATAAAACAGAAACTTCAAGGTGATATGGATGATAAATCAGGCAAGAATGTTTCAAAATACTAAGAATAGTATCTAGCTCTAATCGATATCACACATAACCCACGGCAGCCATAAGTAAAACCATGGTTTAGAACAGTGATGGCGAACCTATGACACGCATGTCAGAGGGGACACGCGAATTCATTTTTTTGGTTGATTTTTCTTTGTTAAATGGCATTTAAATATATAAAATAAATATCAAAAATATAAGTCTTTGTTTTACTATGGTTGCAAATATCAAAAAATTTCTATATGTGACACTGCACCAGAGTTAAGTTAGGGTTTTTCAAAATGCTGACACACCGAGCTCAAAAGGTGCGCCATCACTGGTTTAGAAGCATACACTATTGGCACAGAATAGGTAGTGTAGACATAGATAGAGCTTAATGCATATAGATATATGGCAGAGACATTCAACATCACAGAATAGGAGTGAAGGAAGAATTAAGACATACAGCTAATCAGCAATTACATCACCATTTATTAATATTTATTTATGGCCAATTTTTATATAACTGATTTTACCAAAATGTTTTAGACTAGAATTTAAATTTCCTAATGAACTCCCTCTGATTGTGCTCAGCGTGGGTTACTTAGAGGGCCTTAACCCCCTTTCCCTCATAATATCTGTTAGTACCTCTCATAATTTTTTTTTTTAATTAAATCTTTATTGTTCAGATTATTACATTTGTTCCTCTTTTTCCCCCCCATAACTCCCCTCCTCCCAGTTCCCGCCCCACCCTCCGCCCTCACTCCCCACCCACTGTCCTCATCCATAGGTGCACGATTTTTGTCCAGTCTCTTCCCGCATCTCCCACACCCCTTTCCCCCCCAAGAATAGTCAGTCCATTCCCTTTCTATGTCCCTGATTCTATTATAATCAACAGTTCATTCTGTTCATCAGATTATTTATTCACTTGATTCTTAGATTCACTTGTTGATAGATGCATGTTTGTTGTTCATAATTTGTATCTTTACCTTTTTCTTCCTCTTCCTCTTCTTAAAGGATACCTTTCAGCATTTCATATAATCCTGGTTTGGTGGTGATGAACTCCTTTAGCTTTTCCTTATCTGTGAAGCTCTTTATCTGACCTTCAATTCTGAATGATAGCTTTGCTGGATAAAGTAATCTTGGTTGTAGGTTCTTGGTATTCATCACTTTGAATATTTCTTGCCACTCCCTTCTGGCCTGCAAAGTTTCTGTTGCAAAATCAGGTGACAGTCGTATGGGTATTCCCTTGTAGGTAACTGAGTTTCTTTCTCTTGCTGTTTTTAAGATTCTCTCTTTATCTTTTGCTCTTGGCATTTTAATTATGATGTGTCTTGGTGTGGTCCTCTTTGGATTCCTTTTGTTTGGGGTTCTCCGCGCTTCTTGGACCGGTAAGTCCATTTCTTTCACCAGGTGGGGGAAGTTTTCTGTCATTATTTCTTCAAATAGGTTTTCAATATCTTGCTCTCTCTCATCTTCTGGCACCCCTATAATTCTGATGTTGGTACGCTTGAAGCTGTCCCAGAGGCTCCTTACACTATCCTCGCATTTTTGGATTCTTTTTTCATTTTGCTTTTCCGGTTGGGTGTTTTTTGCTTCCTCACATTTCAAATCATTGACTTGATTCTTGCGCTCCTCTGGTCTGCTGTCGGGAGTCTGTATAATATTCGTTATTTCAGTCCGTGTATGCTTAATTTCTAGTTGGCTCCCCAATATAACATCGAGGGTCTCATTAGTTTTCTTGTAGATCTCATTGAGTTTATCGGCGGCTTCTAAACAGTTCTTGAGAGACCTTAAAAGTGTGGTTCTGAACTCTATATCTTCCATTGACAATTTTGTCCTGTTTCTTTGTCTCTGCATTTTGTTATGCTTCCTTGGTGCACCCCCTAGTGGTCTTTGTGCGCAGTCTTATAATTAAACCTTGATTGTTGTAGCTAATACCAGGGAGGGTTTGACCTCCAGGCCAAGTGGCTATGATCAGCTGTGTCAGCAGTGAGAGAACTTCTGTCCTCTAGGGAGGTGCTAATCTAGCCTTTGCCTGAGGCTATCCGGCAAATGCCTCTGTGCTGGGCTTGGGCGGGGCGGGTCGCACAGGATCAACAGGGTGGGCCGGAGAGAGCAGTTATGGCGGCTCTCAGTCCTGTCCCCAGGGGCTCTGCCTCTCTGAGTCCCAGCACCCACTGCAAAGCTCGGAGAGAAAGCTGCACTCGCTCTGACCGAAGCCAGACAGTCCCGCTTCTCCCGTTTGAGTCTGGGTCCCTAAAGACTCGCCCGGATCTGGAGCTCAGAGTCTGTGACTCCCTCCCGATTGAAAACGCCAACCGCGCCCTCCGCCGCCAGCCCGCTCCATGCACTCCGCACCTCAGAACTTGACTTCAGCACTGCGCCTCCTCTGAGTGTCCGTATGCGTTTCTCTTTCCTCCTAGTCGTAGGACTTCCACTCAGCCAGCGTTCCTGTGGTTCTGGGTGATGTCCGTTCCGTCTTTTAGTTTCACTTTTGAAGTAGTTGTTCAAAGCAGCAAACTCTGGCGTTAGCCTATGCCGCCATCTTGGTTCCTGCAAGGCCCCTCTCATAATTTTTATCGCCACTAAAATTATCCCAGATAAGCATACAGTCTAAGAAAACAGTGTGCTCACTATGTGGTTTCTGTGTAAGAGCATTGTCAAGACAAATTCTTTAGCTCTTGCTTCAAACCAGTGCTACTTAGAAGATCCTCCTGTTCAGCGGCTCTGAGTTACCACTGTTTATGTTGCTTCTACCAGTACAGAAGTCTTTGGAGTCATAGATGTTGGTAAATTAGGAAAGAAAAAAAATTAGAACACAGCTGTAAATCATTCTGTTATTACGTGAGTTCCCACATTGTACACACCCTGGAAAACAAACTAAAAGCCTGATACTATACATTTAGGCTCTAGTATAGATGTTGAGTATTTTTTCTTATTCCACTCTACACTACGTATAATTTATTGATTTATTTATCTTCTTCCTATTTTCAAAAAAGATTAGCGGTAGAGCACTCTGAAGTGCTCATAAAATAGGGACCTTTTCTTTTTCTTTTTTTAAAAATATTTTTTATTGATTTTTTACAGAGAGGAAGGGAGAGGGATAGAGAGTTAGAAACATCGATGAGAGAAAAACATCAATCAGCTGCCTCCTGCACACCCCCTACTGGGGATGTGCCCACAACCAAGGTACATGCCCTTGACTGGAATCGAACCTGGTACCCTTCAGTCCGCAGGCCGACGCTCTATCCACTAAGCCAAACCGGTTAGGGCATAGGGACCTTTTCTTTATTCTATTTGGAATGAGCCTTAATGGGAATAATAACAGCAATCTGCCCTATAAGGTTGTGAATATTAAATGTGACCATATTTGTAAAACACTAGGCATACATAGCACGTAATAAGCACTGTATAAATGTTAACCATTATTATTAACTTTATTGTTATAAGTATAAGAAATTCATAATTAGCACCAGGTCTACAAAAGAATAAAAAAGATAATGTGTGTGAGAGACTAGTATATGAAATATTTTATATTAATTTATATGCTTTGGACTAAATGTGAATATCTTCTTCCCAGAGAGACACGGCGACTTTTGGAGAGACTGGTGTATCAGCCTGGCTATCCCAAATCTATTGTATCAACTGCACGTTGGTACCTACTGAGGCACTTACATGCCAAAAATGATGGCGAGCTCATTGATGTAAGGCATTTATTTTATTCAGAATATATCATCTTGGACCTTTGTTGGAAGAGGGGTGAAGGTTGCTGTCCTCTGCATTGTAGGATTTTGGCAGCATCCCTAACCACTCTAACCACTGCATCCCAGTAGCACTGTCCTCCTTCCTCCACCCAACTTGTGACAACCAAGATTGTCTTCTAGACATTGCAAGTATCCCTGAGCTGAAATTATCCCTGTCTGAGAACTACTGTTTTAACCTGTAGAAAGTATATCCTCCTCATGTGCTATGTAGCAGAAGAGAAGATAGACAGTTGTGCTCGGTGCTGGTTGGGGTATTTCTTGTGATTATTGCCGTGGAAGCAAATAGATAGACAAGATTCATTCAGAAGTAGCAACATTTAATGATATATTCCTATTATCTTTAGAAAAGTTATTTTACTACATCTTGTTTTTTCTATAAAATGCATGGAACAATTTCTGCTCTACTTTTTATGGGGTGACTCTGGTATCTATGTAAACATATATGCATGTATCTAAAATTCTTTTTAAAAATATAGTTTATATAATACATACATGTATTGGGTTCAGATTCTCATAACTTCAGCCAGCAATTTTTAAAACACAATAAAAATTAATGAGAAGCTTATAAAAAAATATCTACAGCATTTGAAATACTGTTTGCCTTTTAGTGAAACATATAATATTAAAGAAATATTAATGAAAACAATGTTAGGCAGAAGGCATTATAATCAAACATATTGCAAACCAGAAAGGAAGAACTTACATGAATCTTGGGAGACAGTTCACCATGCCTGGGTCTGTTGCATGCCTAAACATCCTATGAGCAGAGGGCCTGACTGCCCTTCGTTCCAGACTATCTTTTCAAGGGTGTATGTGTAGTGACAGCCTTGGGAGACAGAGATGTGTCTCCCACCAGAGCAAAGGACAGGCCTGCTTACTGCCTGTTATAAAAGACTCAAGTCTCCTAGGCTCAGGGTTCCCCTCTTGTAATACACCCAGGATGTATGGGGAAAATTATATGTGTCCATTCATGTCACCCCCGTGAGACTTGGAGGGCAAGGAGAACAGATGCAAGTATGTTGATGCTCATGTTGGCTGTACCATGAGTAATATCATGGCGGGCTAACTTGTTACCTTGCGAGTAGGGCAAAATCTCGGTCTCTTCAGTGTTTGAAAATGAACAACCAAAAACTGTTAATAGTAGAATGATCAACTGAAATTAAATCTTCTAGTTTGTGGAATTGCTAAAAATCATCGAAAGCTTCTTAATAGAACCTAGAACTTGGATCCTGGATCCTAAACTGTGGTTTTTAAAGGAGGACAATGTCATTTGTACAGTTTTATGCATAAAATGGTCTTTGGGGGCTAAGCATTTAGAGGTGACAGTATTGTAAACAAAGCTGCCAAACATAACCTTTAATTTTATACAGTGCTCACAGTGGTAACAATCAAAATATTGGCATCTGCACGAATTAAGCATTTGAATAAATTGTGCTTATCTCTGATGTTTGCTCTGGTTGAGCAATTTGTTTCAGCAAAAATGACTGAAAGATTGCACACAGTCACATTTTTTGTATAATTTAATATTGCCTGCTACTCTTAGGCATATTTGGCTTCTATAAATCTAAATATAGATACTGTTAATGAATAAAATACTAATGTTCTTGTTTGTGATTTCCTACAGGTGCTGGTAAACAATGCCAAAACTCATGGAGATACAAGAGTACTGGACCTGAATCAAAAACTGTCCTCACAATAACAATGTATTTTTTATATAAAGCAAGCAAAAAAAAGCTGTTAGAGTGAAACAATGAATCAGTACTCTTCCCCAAAGCAACATTTTTTTAAAAACTATGTGTTATTCATTGCTTTTTTAAAATCTAAAGATGTTTAAGTTCTTAAACTAGGGCTGTAATTTTCCACGAACTCTAATGTAACTTTAATCTGAAAAACAGCTTTGATTTTGAGAAGTCTGTAATAAGAGGAAAAACCATGATTCCCTTAGTTATTCAACACTTATTTGTAAAGCATTATTTTTTTCCATTTTCGCATGATGCACAATAGGATTTTTTTTGTATGATCCCTTACAATAAAGCCTTAATAGCTGTTTCTAAATAATATGCAAAAGCAAATTAGCACACTATAGAATTTAGTTTCTTTTATGAATTTTTAGAGTTTAGCTCATCATAAAATCCAAATAATCTTATGACCTATTTTACTAATAGTTCACCTCAGAATTTGTCAATAAAGCATGATATAAGTGTTGGTGAGTCTTAAATTGCTAATGGACTTGTTTATATAATTCAAGACATTCAGGTGTATGACTGCATTTAAAAAAAATGAATGGAAAATTTTGGAATATAATGCTGACAATATTTAATCATGTAATTCCTTCAATTATGAAAATACTTGAATTTTCTGAAATAAAAAAATATAGTGTCTTATTTTCTTTATACTATCAATATCAGATATAATTTTTAAATTTCAAATTTTTGAGAGAACATTTACTTATTTTATTTCAATTTTTCAAAGAGCCATTTATATATTTTTGAAAAAACTATATGTCACTTACTTTGAATTAGTGTTTTAAAAATGTTTTTAGACATTTACATATATTATTTATTGTACAAAAATGTGTGGTTGTATTTTATGTATGTAGTTTTTTCAAGTCAGCACCTTCACAATGTTACTTTGTGAGATAAGTTGATGATATTCTGTAATTAAATTTTACTTCGGAGGTTAATCTGTTGAACTACTTTTAATTTGATGAATTCCCAACTTTGGCTGAATATTCCATCATTCAGACCTGAGCAATTAGAATATTTAAGGATGGGGCCTAGGTCTCTGCATTTTAAGGGCATGCCTAAGAGATTCGTATGCCCATTCAGGTTTGTGCACCACTAGATTAATCCAATAATGATTCTCCCCTTTATTTCTTCTTTTAACAAGATTAGGCAACTTGCCATTCTGCCCCCATTTATTTCTTATCCTCACATGTGTCAAACTGATTCTGTGCTTTTAACAGCCTGGCCTGTAGACTTAGCCCAGTTGTGCTGCGAGATGCCAGTGCAGCCAGTGCCCGAGCCCTCCTGCTCCCTCAGGACAGCACTCAGCCTTTACCTCCGGAGCAGGCTGTTCTCATCTGCTTAAATGCTTGGGATTCTAGGTCTCCATCCTCTTCCTGGGGATCACTTCACAAGGTAACTTTACCTCTGGTGTGGAGTGGTTAGCCTTAGCTCCAGGCCTAAAATCAAACTGTTTCCTAGTTCTGGCCTCCAGGGGCCTCAGACCCAGGTTTTCTAGAAGGCAAGACTGGAAAAAAAACCTTATCAAACCTATCTCAGGTGATTCTTTTTGATATAGATGTACATACATCCTCTTCTTGTTTATTGCCTTCTTTTCAAATTATTGTCCAGTTACTATGAACCTTAAATCACTGTATAATTTTTATAGAGCTTACTTCATGCAGACATATGCTAAGTGTTTTAAACATTGCCATTTAAACCTAGTTAGCAAAGGAGAGTGATGGTAAACAGTATACTTAAAGCAAAGGAAATTCCCAGGGAATCAGTGCTATTAGATTCTAGGAATTTTAAAAGTAGCTGAAAGTTCCCTTCAGAGTTTATACATAAGCTTAGAGAACTTACATTAAATCTTATTTCCTGAAGCACCAATATTTAGCATTTATATTATTTCATTGTTTTTGTTAGATTTTTTTTTTTGAATTATAGTGCTTTTTCTGCTCATTTTTACCTACCATTTGGCTATTACTGATTAGACGTTTATAGACTAGGTTGGGCATCTGATAACCATTTTCTGTGGTAGAAATACAGTTCGGCTTACGAGTAAACTTTTGGAACACAACCTGGGATCATATATTTTTTAAGGTATCTCTTGCATTAATTTCTGGTTAGGATAAAAATACAACCTTAGTTTAAAATGCTATACTCTTTCACTTTATAGAGTTGATAAACTTCCTTCAAGTTGGTAATCTACATAGAACAGCATTGGACAGAAATACTCAAGTTACTGTACATTAAGGGAGTTAAAAGATGTACATTAAGGAACTAAAACAATATGAAACATTAGGAAAATATTCACTGATAAGTAATATGTGGATATGAAATGATACATTTTGGTTGTCCCATAGAAAGTTTGATGTCTGCTTTGGGGAAATAGTACAGGCACAACAAAAGGAAGCATAATTTATGTATCAGTCATTGTGACTTGCAGATCCATTTCAATTTTTGCACATTAAAAATGTGGAAGCGTCGTTTTGGCAGAGTAGACCCTTATCTCTCAAGGTCTTCCTTTCTCACACTTGATTGGCTGATGGGTGAAAACATCTCGGGCTCCCATGCTGCTTGTTTCCAGGTGTAACAGCTGTTGCTTATAAACTGACCTTCACTTTGAAAGAGAAGGTTTTTTTGTATGTTTTGTATTTTAAAAAGATACAGTGTATGTAAGATACAAGTACAGTAATCTTCCCACATACATATCTATACTAATAAAAGGGTAATATGCTAATTAGACTGGGAGACCTTCTGTACATCCTTCCGGACAAATCCATGGTGGCGGGGCCAGGGCAGAGGCGGTTAGGGGCGAGTAGGCCAGGAGGGGAGGGCAGTTGGGGGCAAGCAGGCTGGTGCGGGGTGGTAAGTTGGGGGAGAGCAGGCTGGCAGTGGGGGGCAGTTGGGGCAATCAGGCTGGCAGGGGGGCAGTTGGGGGTGAGCAGGCTGGCAGGGGGTGCAGTTGGCAAGCAGGCTGGCAGGGTGGGGGCAGTTGGGGGCGAGCAAGCTGGCGGGGGGTGGGGGGGGGCAGTTGAGGGCAAGTTGGCCAGCAGGCAAATGGTTAGGAGCCAGTGGTCCCGGATTGCGAGAGGGATGTCCGACTGCCAGCAGTCAGACATCCCCCGAGGGGTCCCAGATTGGAGAGGGTGTAGGCCAGGCTGAGGGACACCCTCTCCCCGTGCACAAATTTTGTGCAGTGGGCCACTAGTTGTGTGTGTGTGTGTGTGTGTGTGTGTGTGTATGTATATGTGTGTATGTATGTGTTTGTATATATATATGACTTTATACATACAGATAAAGCAAAAAGTCAGAAAATTTTCTTAACTAGAGTATATGCCTTATTTTTGGTTTAGAAAATATACTCTCTTGCTCTGTTGCACTTAGAAACCATTCAGTTCCTAGCTGTCCCTGTTGCTATGTAATAATGGGTTTTTCCTTTCTTTGGCTGATTAGAATAGGAACTTTTTGAGTTGCAGTGTTTTAAATTCTAATGTACCTAAACAACCCACACAACTAAATTTTTTTTATAATTGCTAAATTATCTTTAGACCTCAAAATGTTTTGAAAAAACCTAAGAATAGCATCTCTAATAAAGAGCTGTTATGAAACATTTGATATTTTTTATCTTATATTTTGAACTTAGAATTGAAAATACCTATTTGTTTTAGTGAAGGGAAATGATACCAGGAAAGGGATAATTAAAATTGGTATATTCGTTGAAAAAGGAGTTGGATTCTACATTACATCACTGGACTCTTGAAATAATTTGCATGTTGATCTCTTCCCAGTTTGAATCAGTACAAAACTTCATTTGGGCTTCATGCTTCACCACATACTTTCCCTGTATATAATCCTATATAATAAAAGGCTAATATGCAAATTGTCCCCTCGGGAGTTTGGCCGACCAGGAGTTCAACCGGGCGCTATGACATGTGCTGACCACCAGGGGGTGGCGTGGAACAAAGGAAGGCCCTGTCTGACAGCCCGGGGAAGGAAGCAGCTGGAAGGCCCCAATCAGCCCTGATTGCCAACCAGGCCTAGCAACCCTACCCATGCACAAATTTCGTGCACTGGGCCTCGAGTACCTATTACAAAAACATGTTTAAATTATATTTTTCTGGAGAGAAGATGGATAATGAAAGAAATGCTTATTTTGACATTTCTGCTTGTGGTAGGCAGACTAATAGCCTGCAAAGGTATCCATGCCCTAATCCTATAACGTGTAAATGCATGGCACAAGGGGTTATGCGGGTGTGATTGAGGGTAGGGACCTTGAAAGGGGGAGATTCTGAATTATCCTGGTAAGTCCCTTTTAATTGAGAGACCTTAAAATGGAGAGAAGTGAAAACAGAAGCCAGAGAGATTTCCCTTGCTGACCTTGAAGATGTAAAATAAGGGCAGCCTCTGGAAACTGGAAAAATCAAGGAAACTTTCTCCTGTGGAGTTCCCAGGAAGGAATGCCGCCCTGCTGGCACCTCGATGATAGCCTGGTGAGACCCATGTGGGACTTCTGTAGATAATCCATTTATGTTGGTTTTAAGCCACTAAGTTTGTGATCATTTGTTTTGGCAGCAATAGAAAGTTAATACATTGCTCATTGCATATACTGTTAAATGAATATGCATTCCATTGAATTTCAATTTTACCAGATCACTGAATTGGGGATCATCATCTAAATTGTTGCCAAAAGGGGGGTCATCAGATAAATATGAGACCTCTACTGTACAAAGGTAATTTATTAAAAGCAGTTACTGTGAAAATATAAATGTCAAAAGTAGTTGACTAAGAATATGTGGCTGTTCATTTCTGTAATACTATCTATTCTCACTCAACATGCTACTTACGGCCCAGTATCACCAACACAGTTGATTAAGTATGTCATTCTCATTTTTCTTAAAAGAAACTGCATTAAATTAAACAAAACCTAAGTGGTATGTTTTAAATTTTAAATATTGAATGAGCATGTTACTAAATCAGTCTTATCTCTTGGCCTTTCATTTTAATGTGAATTTGTAAAGAGCCAAAAAAGTGAGCTACACTTCCAATGGCTGCATTCTGTTGTTCTAGTTACCAGAATTTTCTAAGTCCTAAGTGAGCTGAATGAAGCAAAATCCTATATAATCCTATATAATAAAAGCCAAATGCTAAGTGTCCGCTCATCCATTCAACCAATCAAAGTGTAATATACTAATGATATGCTAAGGCCGCTCAACCTCTCACTATGACGTTCACTGACCACCAGGGGGCAGACACTCTGACCAGTAGGTTAGCTTGCTGCTGGGGTCCGGCAGATCAGGACTGAGCTAGACGGGCTGGACACATCCCGGAGCCCTCCCCGGCCCCGATCGTGCACTGGTGGGGTCCCTCGACCTGGTCTTCACCCTCTCACAATCCGGGACCCCTTGGGGAATGTTGGAGAGCCAGTTTCAGCCCGATCCTGCAGGCCAGGCCGAGGGACCCACTGGTGCACAAATTTGTACTGAAATAAACTGCTTGGTGCAGAACCTAAGAAGCAGCAACTTTGGTTTTCATTGAACGGGGGCACCCTGTGCTTACAAACCTTAGACTAGAGCCCCTTTCCAATGAGACCTCTACTGTACAAAGGTAGGAACTAAGACCCTGGGAAGGAAAGTAGACCTACACTCAGTATTTTAATGGAAGCCAGCATGTGTAAATGTTTGAATGTAATTGCCTGTGCCTGCTACATGCCAAATAGGCTATACTTCCTTCAGAAAGATCACCCACATTCAGTAACATATGCCCATTGTTTGACTATCTGACTCCCAGGTGGCTTAAATAACCTGAGTCTCTAAGAAACCCATATTTTTAATGCCAGTGTCTCCCTTATCAAACAAAATATGGTCATTGCTTAATCTCTATGGAGAAAAAAAAATGCAGCATAATTTAGTATTAGGCAATCAGGAGGTGTTCGGGTTTTTTTTTTGGAAAACCAGTATAAACTGGTTTAAAAGTTCTCATCTTAATTGTTCTGGTCAATTTAATAAATTAAGAAAGGGAAAATAAGGTACACTTAATCTGTACAAGGACTGTTTCCTGGCATCAGAAGTTTTGAAAACAGCCTGAAAAGAAGTATAGGGCACAGGGAAAAAGCCAGATGGAGCAGAAGTTTCCTTATGTGGAAAAAAAGATTAGAGAGAAAACACACAGCTGAGAAGGGAAATTTATATTTCCACAAACAGCTTCAATAAGGTGGAAATAAATGCATTTCTGACTTGCCTGAAGCTAGCACTGTAGTGCCTCAGAACAAGTATGGTTGGAAGACGACTTCTGTCTAGAACAAGGCTCAGAATAAAGTACTTATTAGCTCACTTAAACCGCATATACTAGTATACTTGTGCACATGGGAAATAAGCAGGCAGCAGTTTTGTGCACGTCAAGGAGGTTCTAAGAAAACCCACATAAGGGGTAGCATTGCAGAGTATCTTGGTATGTCCCACTTGCCTCAGCAGAGGAGCCTTTTGTGCTTATGAGGTGGTAATCATTACCCACCAGATTCCTGGTGCCACTGAGTTCTAGGAAGAAGCTCAGGAAAAAGGGACCCTCCTCCAAAGGACTAACTTTGCAAATTTATAATTTCCCCAGCTTCATTTGCAAATTTAAACCTATGTAGGATAAGGAATTCTCTGTCTTCATTAGATTTTGAACTTTATGAAAGCTGAAGCCAGCAGTGAACGAATTGTTTTGGTGAATCCTTGATAACATCTAAAGTGCTTGCCGGCCCTTGCTTTTCTCTTTGGCTTTTCTAGCCTTTTCCCCTCCCATGTCTTGACTACTTAGCACTTCCTTGGTTTTGAAAGACCTTGCCCTCCAATTAATCCCTATGAAGGTTAAAATAAAAAAAATATCCTCATAAAAGCTCATGGGTGTGTGTGTGTTTCTGAGGATTTTATATTGATGATGTGAATACTTAAAAGCCTTTAAGTACTAGGCGATGGAATATAGGCATAAAGACTAGCTAGATCCCTTTGGTGTAGGAGTGGTTTTGGGTTGCAGGGGTCGGTTGTCCAGCACCATTCACATGCCTCCTTGTTGGCACCTCCCACTTGAAGTCCATGTCTGATGGTTTCCCTTGTGAACAGAGAGCATTACTCTCCGAGAGGCAGCTGGGAGTTGGATACTAATGGTTTTTGCCTGACATCAGCACCTTGCCCATCTCCAGTCAATGACCATAATGTTTCATCGGCTGTTAGTCTCCCTTCTCAGAGACAATAGGAAGAAGTGCTTTTAAAGTAGAAGGATATTTCCTCATTTTAATTTTGTTCCAGGAGAAATCTGTATTTTGCACTTTCTGCTTTGCTCCACTCCTAGAATTACTGCAAGCCAAGGTATTTCTTCTCATATATAGTAAAAGGACCTTTTGAACTCAAATATTTGTAGATACTGATCTTAATCAGAGTTGGACAAAGAGTACCATGGAACTTGTCTTTCCCATAAAACTCAAAAGCTTTATTTATTACTAGAGGCCCTATGCACGAAATTCGTGCAAAAGTAGGCCTTCACAGCCCTGGCTACCTCAGCCCTCACAGCCCTGGCTTTGTCCAGAAGGTTGTCCAGAAGGATGTCCGGACGGTTGTTCCACTGTTCAGCTGTTTGGTCGATTTGCATATTATGCTTTTATTATTATAGATTATTAATCAGTACAATTTATCAAGAGCAATAGCTACTAGGTATCAGACACTGCATTAGATGCTGTGCACGTATTTTGAGAAACAATAT